CCACGGAACGTGGGAGAGCCTGTGGTTATATATGTGCTCCTTTGATGCCACTAGATGGAAATTTATTACCCAGATGCAAATCAGGTGAACAAACCTGTCTTAAAGGGCACTTAATTAGGGCACTTGAGCTATGTACAAAATAAGACTGGAAAGGAATGAGAAAGAATGTGCACGGTAGATATGAGTTTATTTCTGGAGATCTAGCCCATCATTGATTGCAATTGCTATGATACCTACCAGCAGAAAAGAAGTACTTATCCATCCTGTACACAAGTAGACTCAAAGACTACTTTCTGTTGTCTTTAATTCACTTGCTCTCTTCTTCTGGAATACATAGTTTCAGGCCAGACTTCAGATATTTAAATAAAAATAAAATACAAAAATCAACTACTCAAAATAGCAAATTTTGTTATATTTTCAATATTGTAGATAATATTTCAGAAAAATAATTACAGCTACCTGGATCAGAGGTCATCCCTAAGCTCATTCCTTTTGTATACCCTTGTCATAACAAGGGCAGAGAAGATAACATTTAAACCTGAAACAACACTGAAAATCAAATACATAATTTCTAGGGCTCAACAAATCAAGACACAGGAAGACTTCAGCTTCCTAGGCAAGAGTAAATGGTCATGGTAATTTCAGTAAAGGCAGGATGTGATCTTTTGCCCGTTTGTTCATCTGTCTGCACCCATACGTTCCTGCATTTCCGTAACACTGGAGGAATTCAGTTACACGAATTCTCTCTCAAACTGAAAGACTGCAGACAGGTTAAGTCTTAAGCTGGTAAAGAGTGTTGCTCTCTACTAGGAAAAGTAATGCCACATGATCACAGCCTTCTCCAAATCCACAATGCCAGCACAAAGAAGCAGCAGGAATCATCCTCAAAGCTCTACCACCCAACTCGTACCAGCCTAGAATGCCTGAGCTCTTCACAGAAGGGTGAGGATCTCCCTGAAGTTGCTTATGCTAACTTGATACCGGGTATCTGGGCTCCCTAATACAAACCTTGTATGAAGGCAACTAGATATTCAACAGAGAAAAAAATAAGTTTCAGTGCAAAGCATCCTCCTGTCTGTCCCTGTAACTGGACTGTAATTTGAGTCCCTTATAGCAATTTCGTAATACAGACTCATTTTGCTCTAAGACATGAAGCCAGCTGGGCAGCTGGGATAATGTCTCTGTCTGGTGTGGCATCTAATATCTAGCCTGGAAGTCCAATGTGTAGGCATTTCTTCGCCCCTCATACTGCAGCTGAATGACTCTGCTGTGTTGATTTGAAATGACCTGACTAATCTCAACTTCCTCTAACAGTTTAATGAAATGTCAGAAGTGAACAAGGTCCATGGAATTGAAAAAAGACCATTCAAACAATGATGAAAAGAAACACATGGACAGCAATTTTTAAACAGTCTTTGGACTATTGGAAATAATTCTGTGAATTCTAGCCAAGCTGCAACATAAACATACTAAGAAGGGATTGAAAAACGTTTTATATAAAGATGCATTTTTTATCTAGACTGTGTAATCCACAAAAACGAGATATATGGGAAAAGCCATCAGTAGGTGAGTTCAAAAAAAATAAAAGATCCTCCCTGCTCCCCTCATATCTGTCGGTGTTTGGAAAAACAAACCACAAAACAACAGTTACGTAGTTCTGGTTCTACCATCTAAAATTACAGGAGGGAGAGGCAAAAGGATCTGGCAAACTGAGTCCCGCTCCTTTCCAAGGAAAGCTTAATGGCACTCTCAACTGCAGAAATTAAATACGCTGATCGTAGCACAGCCTCACAGAATACCAACTAAGAGGGAAAAACTTACACCATAATCCCTGTGAGGTAAGGTACAAACAGCTAAAACAAACTCTTTGGGGCTTTTAGTGTCACTAACACCTTACATCCTATTAGGAAGTAAAATGTCCTAAAAAGCATAAAAATGCTCTCCAGAGGTTACCATATCTCACTTCCCTGTGCTACAGCAGGACATGGCCATCACAGCAGTAATCTGAAAGCACACAGGAATCCCTGGCACACTAGAGAATTCAGACTCTATCTCTAAGATTAGAAGGCCATAAACTCTCCAGGAGTCCCTCCTTCCTGCAGCAGATCCAGCATTCATTCAGTTACACTCCCACTGCCTCTCAGCATTGCTGTGCCACACTAGGTTTGAGGGGTGTTTGTGAATGAAGGTCACAGAAGAGTTTCCGAACTTTGGGGCTGCAGCACGCTCTTGCACGTTAACAATTTCCAGTACTCAAAGTTGGGAGATAGCAAGCCTGAGCAATGACAGAAAACTTACCATCTCTGCAACCCTTGCACTCTCAAGGCAATGTTCTATGAAAAATGTGATGTGATCACATAATTAAAAGCTAACTCTTGTGCAGAAACCTAGAAGGCAGGGAATGGAACAATCCAGAAGCTGAAAGGGCATAGTGTAAAGCCAATAAGGCTTTTGGCATTGCAATCAAATGCCATTACCGTGGAATATTTTTCATTATGTGAAGCCTGAACATTTGAAATTTTTTAAGAAAAAAGAAAATGTTACATAACATGCTTTCCCAAAATTCCTGTCTAAATGATACAACATTTGAATCTTGAATGCTCATTTTTGCTGCAAAAATCATTTGAACTAATGGATTTAATATATTAACTGGCATCTAGGCATGTATTAATACAGATATAAGAGGAAAAATGGACTTGCAGAAGTAGACACAGCTGTGATTGGCAAAACTGAGACAAAAGTAAAAGCTAGTAAGTAAAGGAGAGATTTTGAAGACTGCTAGAAAAGGAAGAATCTGGACCATGACAACACTAAGCAAGCAGAACAGATAACGCTAGGCCATTACAGAGAAGGCCTGTACAAGCTTAGATATATAGAAGGTAATTTTTTCTCTCGTCATGGCAGAAGGCAGACTTAAAGCCCTGTCACCTGCCCTTGCCTTTGGAAAATAAAACCATTTCTGTTTAACGTGAGTCTTCCACTGAAGTACTAATCCCTTGGTCAAGGTGTTCAAACCACATGTAATCACCCAACCTCTGCTGCACAGACATGTCCACAACTGCTCCTGGAGCTTTCTGGGAGTTTTCCTGGCTACTGATGGCTTTGGCAGTGCCTAAAGATCATGCTGGGTTAATCTCTTATACTGCTTGAGATCCGGATTTGAGTTTGATGATATCAGCCATATGCTCACCTGTAATGGAGCCTCATGCAGTGAAAACTTCAGGTTGTGTCACAGAGTTACCACATTAATACGGAGGGCTGGATTTTCAGAGTGCAGTGAAGGAAGGATGCTGCCAAGCACACAGCCTAGTAATGCTGTGAAGAAAGCTTCAGCCTGGTGCTTGCCAGAGCAGAAGGAAAACCTTTCACTTCTCAGCAAATTCAAACAAAAAGATAGAATTGAGTATTTCCATCAAAAATTATTCTTCTTCTATGGGAAGATGGCAAACAACATGCACCACTGAGTTAATACACTACTTTTTTCTGCTCTGTTAAATCACACGATGATTTGCTGGAATAGAAAATACAAGGAACTGGAATTAGCTGGCCATCACTTCAGGTCACATAGGCAAGCAGAATGAAGTCTGCTGCTTTCTATGCCTGCATGAAGAGAGACACTGCAATCTACATCTGCTTCTTCTTCTCAGGCAACTAAACTTGCCTTTAAATTTTAAAAAATTACTTTTCAACTTACGACCTTGGTTATTACCAAAGGAAAAAAAAATCAAAACATTGTTCTGCTTACTCCCAAATTTATTCTGATGCTTGTGAATATTCTGACTGCATGTAATAAAATGAAAAATATATATACTTTTCATAATAAAATGCGTTTTAGGTTGTGGAGTCTCCTTCTCTGGAGATGTTCAAGACCTGCTTGGACACCTGCTTGTGCGACCTGCTGTAGGGAACCTGCTTTGGCAGGGGGTTGGACTCGATGATCTCTGGAGGTCCCTTCCAACCCCCATGATTCTGTGATTCATTTCACTTGAGATAGCCTAATAAAATTATTTCCTATCACTTCAATTCTTATCAACTTAAAATTTAAGGTGTTAAAGTGCATCAAGAACCTCTGTGCAATCCAGATCTAAAGCAGGCTTTCAGGAAGATACAGATAATTTCCCTCTAAATTTTAATCAAATTAGATGATTGTATTTTGCTCACTTGAAAAAAAGAGACAAACAGAAGATACAATTAAGACATATCAACATGAACTCTGTCTTACTTGGGAATTTCTGCTGACCTACTACATCACAATGGAAATCAATTTTGATGACATCAAGGAACATTTACTACTAGCCTAAACAGCAAAGATTTAACTCATGGAGTTCTGAATCTCAAATCTGAATAAAACATGGAAGAATATAACCAGCTGGAATAGTTGCAGTCATCCAGGTTTGTACTGAGATGAAGCACTGTATCTAAAATATATAAGTAGCTGAGCTTCATGTGAATCAGGCCAACAATGCTTGAGATTTTACTTTTTTTTTTTTTCACTCTCATTTTGGTGTTCAAGTTCTCTTCTATCCCAAGTAAATTCGGAGGTTTAGCATCATTAATATTGAGGAACTGTAAATGTGCAAAATTAGTCAGAAGGGCAGTTTATAGGGTAGGAAAAAAAAAAGAAGGTTTAATTTGTGAAATAGACTAGTGAGAACACTGAAGAAACACACCACCAAGTAACATACAGTGATGACTGCATAGACATTCAAGTAAGAAGCTTAACTGCAATTATATGGAAGAGGTCAGACCCAGTTCCTGCAGAGCAAATGTGTAGGCCAGCACTAATGGTGTCAGCAGCATCAGACATACTCACTGTGAGGCAGTGAAAAGGGTGGACTGATAGGCCATAGGCAATAGGGAAACCATGCACTGGACAAGAAGAATACACAAGGAAGATAACCAGGATGGTGTAAATATTTTCCATACAGAACAGATGGTGGGTGTACTCTTCAATTTTGATTTAAAGGCACAAAAAGTTCCAACAAACAAAAACAAGAGAATCTGAAATAATTATGTGTATTTCATACAAGGCAAAGGTCACTTATGGAAGACAGTGTCTTTTGCAAAGTTTAAAAAGTCCATGATAGACAAATGGAACTGCATCATCACTACAAAAACTCACACACAAAAAAATCACAGAATTATTCCTTAGAGAAATATGGCAGATTATCTAGGTAATGCTGTAAACACGTATTTTAGGTTAGGGCTCAGATCCTCAGGCAAAGGAAGTTGTATACATACACATGCACACTCTCTCAGTTGGTAAACAAGAAGTTAAAAACAAAATCAATAGTAACAAGAACAACTAAACACCACCACCTTTCCCATATTCTTCCAGTTTCTTTTAAGAATCAGCTAAAACAGAAATTACTTCCTTTAATGCACAATATGAGAGTATGCTAGCTTTGCCTGTAATGTCTCTGCTCAGGTCTGAAACATCAAGCCTGTAAAGCATCTTGCACCCACAGAACTACATAATAACTCCTGACAAGACAACTTCACTTAGTTAAAAGAGTTGAAGTGAGGTCAAGCCTGGAATTCTGATTTTAATTGAGTCTTGTTTTATTTTTTTTTCAACCCCCTGATGTTTTTCATTTTAAGATCACAAATAGCTTGTGTACATATTGGTTCTGAATAAAACACTGGGATAAGAGTTTATTGTTTCTTGTAGTTGGAATTTTTTACAGGAAGAATGTTGCCAAAACAATTTAATAGCATATTCAAAATTAAGAGCGCATTTTGACCCAAATGACAATAAATTAGCTTTAAAAAAGTAAAAAATAAAAGAAAAAAGGGAAGAAAATGATTTCTTCATTTTCCAAACAAAACAGTAAAACAATTGCAACAAAAGAACATTTCAAACACTAGTGAACAATACTACAGAAACACGTTCAGATTAAAGGTAAGGACAGTTCTTTCAAAAGAAAGAGGAGTTCTACAGCTTAAGGCTGCAAGCTGAGTGTTTTGAGAAGTTAGCTCTAAAAAATTAAAATATCTGAGCATCATTAACCCTTCATGTATATTCAACAGCAACCGAACTACCCCAATCATATTTGAAGTATTTCACTAATCTCAAAATTGTGTTTTTAGTGGAACAAAGCAGGTTTTCTTTCAAGTGCCTGTAAGATGTGTTTTGAATTTATTTCAAAGGTGCAGCTTTTCTCAAGATGATTGCATTATCAAGTGTGATAATGTTGCTCAAGGCTGTGGCCAAATGTCACAGTATCACTCGTGACAGCCACAGGGAGAAAGGGATTTTCAGAATAGAAATTGTGCAATCAGATTAGCCAGTCCAAGGAGGATTATAAAGATGTGAATGATCAACGCTGGCCACGTCAGCTGCCCAGCACGATGCATGGAGATCACGTAGATGAGTGATGGATACACAAAGACAAAGGCCAGACCACACGTTGCTCCAGAGTATCTGAAGAAATGGAGAAGGGGAAAAGAGCAAAGAAAAAAAAAAGGGGTGGGGGAGGGAAGAGAACAAATGCTTTATGTTAACTCTTACTTTTTCTTGTCTTTTTTTTTTTTTTCACTCAAACTAGTGAACAGTCTGACCAAACAATGGCTACTTGCAGTCACTAAACACTGATTTATGTTCATTGTTGTCCTGCACTGGCATTTCATGATGTCTCTCTCAGTCCCCCGACTCTCCCTACCTCCTCTCTGACATACCGCTGATGTTTCTTCACATTCCCACATGATTCTGGGCATGAACTGGACTCATTACGGATGTTTTTACTTTCTTCAGGGAAATACAAATAAAATACCAACAGTGCTTACTTTAAGTATCTCTCACTTACAGAACTGCAAATCTTATTGATTCCCAGCCATCTGAGAACACGTTAAAGCACATAACAATAGAACTACTCTTGAAATTGCAACTTTTATTTTAAATAACTTAATGAGATTCAAAAAGGCTGTTTTCCAGACCCAAAAAGATCAAAATGCCCTTCTTGAAGCATAATCAAACACAGCAACTGAAACATCTAACTTTTTCTAAGCATTCTCTTGCATATCAAACCTTTTCATTATTTTCCCCTGCTGTGAATTTCCATCTATTAAGCTATAGTGCAGCCAAATGTAAATTATTAACTAGCAACATATTTTATTTCAAAGATTTGATCACGCCCTTTAGACAGTGGAAATACTGCTACATAAAATAAGTCTGCATAACAAAACTTGTAAATATACATTAGATTGTACATAGAAAATTTATCAGTTGGAAATACACTATTCCAAATGCTTAAGTGCCATGCACAGTGAGTGCGTCAGCAGAAGTCAAGACCAGTTTGCAAATAGAGACGTGTATTACATGATATTTATTTTCAGTTAATAAGTAAACTGTCTCTATCACTGGAATCAGAATGTTTTCACTAAAATGAGAAATAATAACAAAAGAAAAGGAAATGGAAAAAAGGACACCTCAAAGATCAGCTATTGAGCAAAAGTAAGCCATTCTACTAATACTAACCACCCTAAACCTCTCATTCTAGTTTTATAATTGCAAATTTCTATATTTTTAAACATCTCCCTCTCCTGGTGCCATAAGAATAATACAAACTAGGAATGAATGAAAATGATTATGTATATGGAATCATAAAATGGTCTGGGTTGGAAAGGACCTTAAATCCACCCAGTCCCAACTCCTGCCATGGGCAGGGCTGCTCCCACCAGCTCAGGCTGCCCAGTCCCCATCCAACCTGGCCTTAAGCACCTCTAAGGATGGGGCACCCACAGCTTCTCTGGGCAGCTGTGCCAGCATCTCATCACAGTATGAGGAAAGAATTTACTAGCCTACATTTCTCCTCTTCTATTTTAAAGCTGTTCTCCCTTGTCCTGTCACTATCAGACCATGTAGAAGTTGTTCTCCTTCCTGTTTATCAGCCTTTAAGTAGCAGAAGGTATCAATGAGGCCTCCCTGCAGCATTCTCCACTCCAGAATGAACAAGGCCATCTTTCAGCCTTTTTTCATAGGAGAATTACAGAAATCCCATGTGTTTAACACTGTAGATCTAAGATGCAATTTAGAAGTACAATTTTTAGGTTACTTTTCCCTTTTAAGTTACCTGCACTACTGCATTTTTATCATAGACTTTCAAATTAGCTTCAAACAGTCTTAACATAAAAATGAGAGAAATCAGACAATAAGCAAGGAACTTTTATGCTGACATAATATTCTTTGATGTGGACAGTTACATGGTGACCAGGTATAGCTCTAGTGAAACTTGGGGAATCATCTCAGTCACCACAGATGCAAAAGTACTATTATGGATAGTTGCTTGTCAGAACTTTTAAAGAGCAGAAGCAGATTGCTTATACTTCTAAATTTGCTCTGCACAACTTACAGAAGTCTAGGTGAACAAAATATAAAGTTACAATTCCTTACCCTCTTATTGTTCTTTTACAAAATTGAGACATAAACACATTAACACCGTAGGTAAGTTTAATGTGCAAAGCAATGCTTACCTTATGATACCTCCAATATTTGGATAAAATCTTGCCATTGCTACTCCAGCTCCTACAATTGCTACGTTCAGAGCAAGCACATGGAAAACACTACAGAAAAGTGAGAAAAAAGGTATTAAAATCTACACTGTATTTATTACAAAATACCATTACTTTTAATTTAAACTAATATTTAATTGGTACATGGATAGTATTTCAATTCAAGCATGACTCATGCTATTAAAGCTCATTAATTTCACAGGAAATATAATATTTATTGAAAATTCTGAACACCAAACTATAAATATCTAGTGTTTTGACTTCAAATATTCTTAAGGAGTAAGTATGTATAATCTGGCAATTCTTCTGAAAGCATCAGACATGGTACTCAGCTTTCAAGTATTTCAGATAGATATTCAAATACTGAAGAAATCCACAAGAATTAGCTTGCTCAGAGAATGATCTGGACTGCTATGTGTGTGTGAGCTACGGAAACCAACAGAGATACATCACTGAAAGAAAAACATTACACAAAATACTACTGAAAAAAAAACAAGCAAACAAGCTTAATACTTGACCTCTAATATACTTTGACGCAAAACAAACGTTTGAGATGTTGGACCTAATTTAATATCGGGCATGCATACTGCTTATACTAGATTTTTTAAAATTGATTTTGGTTCTACAAATAATTTCCTGTTGCTTTCCTTTTTGCAATAAGGATGAAAAAACTGGAGGCTTCCTGTTCTCCACAAGCAGCTTTTAATGCCTGAGACTAACTTAGTGCAGGCATTATGCACACAGCTAACACTTGGGAGAATATCACTTTTCTTCAGAGAATATAAAATGTTGGCATATTTCAGTAAAGTCAGGAAATATAAGAAAAAACACTGGGATATTTTGGTCACACAGCTGTTTCTATGAAGGGAAAGAAGAATTTGCACACAGGAACCATAGATTCAGTTTTCATTGGTTCAGAATGCTTTGATTTCTTAAAATAATCAAAACCCATAAGCTGATGCTGATTGTTTTAAACGTAGAATGTATCTGTGCTACATAGAAAGTCACTAATGAACAATCTTTTCAAGTGGGCTACAGCTGAAACAGTAAAAGTCACCACTCTCATGGCTGAAAGGCTGGCTGCTGGCTTCCAGGTTTGGAAGAAAGGTTGAAGCAGTAGAGGGGACTCATTTGAGTGTAGGGGAACCATGGCAATTCACACACAAAGACATAATTGAAGATACACACTGTATCTAAGATTTGCCCATAAAAAATGATCTAAAACTAGACAGAAATAACATCCTTCACTCTGGGCTTGGTACCCTTAACAGTGGTGCACGAGAGGTACACTGCAGAGACTGAAGACAGCAGTGGGAACACAGCAGCTGAGAGAAACATCGTCCCATATAAAGCTGGTAAAACCCCAAGGATCACTCCCCAAGAACCAGATGATGAATAAAAGATGGGCCAAACATCTACTGTTTCTCTAATACTCCCTTAAAAAAATCTAATTAATTGCACAGTTCATGAAACTTTTTGTTAACATTTTCTCTCACACACATGGCAGTTTGCAAATCTCACCATGAGATAACACAAATGAAGACAAAATTTATGAACACAGAAAATGGTGGCAATTCTTTCCTTCCTTTTTTTGCTGAGACAAACTTTCAGCAGGTAAAATTAAACAGAGTGCAGGCCACACAACTAGGACATGTTTTTCAAATTTAGGTTGGTACAGAATATTTTTACAGAAAAACTGAAAAAAGTTGGGAATATTTCATTTTGACATGCTTTACAACAGAAATGATTTTGTAGTTCAGAGTTGTTGCTTTTTTAAAAATTAATTCAAGCTTTTTACAACTTCAAAGGCAAACTTATGTGCGTGCAGATGTGTGTGCGCGCATGTGTGCTGTGAAATGAAGTATGATTCCAGTTCTTCATCTGGGAAAAAACATCAGGACAAAGAAAGATGTGTTTTTACTCAAGTGAAAGCAATTGTCTAAAAATGCTTCAAAGCAAGGCAGTGCTTGCAGAGAACTGTTTTCCAGTTTCTGTTGTCACAATTAAGCAGCAATCTCAAGAAAAGTAACAAAAAGCCTGAAAAGGATTTTAATCCATTCACTTCAAAGAAAAAGGTGACACTGTTTCTCCTTGGAACATTTCTGCACCTCCTTCTACCATTTCAATAACAGCTCAAATTAGACTGTGCTTCCAGTTCACCAATAAAACGGACTGTGTATTTAAACTGCAACAAAACAGCTCCTCCACACCTGTGCGTTCGGGTTCTTCTAACTGTTCAGATGCTCACAGGTTATCTCACCTTTCAGAAAGGAGGAACTAACATTCTTAAATCCTGAGAAAAACACTGACATTTTGAAAACAATCCTTCTGAACAAAGATCTGACATCTACAGCTACCAGCAACTGCATTGTTTCAGACAGTGCATTTTTATAAATAAGATTCCAAGTTTTATGCAGGTGCACACCTGCCAGGACAAGCACTCCCCATAGGCATTATGTTTTCACGATGCAGCTTGGTTCACCAGTAGCTTGCTGTACACTTAATGATCACATGTTGCACAAGGTGGTCAGAAAAGAAGTAATTTTTGGCAGCATAACCACATCACTTCTGGCTTTTTTAGATCCATAGGGAAAAAAGCATTCAGTAGACACGCTGCATCCAGTCTTCCCCTGGAGAAGTGGTGTTTGCAGTTAACCTTGTGAATAATGGCCATATTATTTCGCTAACTTCAGCATCCTTAAACTAAGAATCACATCAACAAGAGTGAAGACAAACCCCGGGGCAGGGAATAAACTAAAGAAGAAACTGGTTAAAAGTCCTGACAGGTCAGAAGCAAAGAAATTAGAAGTGCTGCAATCAGTGTGGAATCACAACATGAACACACACATTTGAACAGTAAGGAAATAAAAACAACATAAGTAAAGATTTTTGAAAAGTCACTGAATCTAAAACTGAATTTTCTTCCCAGAAGTCTCGCCCAAGTGACACCAGTCAAAAGACTCTGAATCACTGCACTTCAGATGCAAAGCAGAAACGTACATGCAAACAGCAGAAATGTACTTCACTGCATCAGAAGACACAGCTGTAGGAGAACTGGCAGGTCTGCTGGGCTGCCATGGAGTAAGGGGAGGACATCTTTTAGGAAAGCCAAGGGATTTCTGTCCATCGGTTTATTTAACCTCTCAGAGCAAGGAAGATTTTAAGAAGAAATTCTAAAAAACGATGACTATACAAAGTATTTTATGCACGGCATGTAATTAAGGGAATTCTCTGTCACAACTATCACTGTAGCTACAAGCCAACAGTAACACTAGAAAAAATTACTTTTCTATACATGCAAGAAGATCCAGAATCACACCACAGGCAGCAGATAAACCACATGCCTCTGGCCATAAGTCACTCATTAAACGATGCCATTGCAAATATGTCTTGCTTTAGAAAAGAAAGTAATTTCCCAAAACACAGCATTTTGGCCTTCTTTTACAACACGTGAGAGAGAAGAAAGATCTTCTTGGATTTTGTTCCCGTATGTCCATTTATGTGTTGTGGTCTTTACACTAATGTACTCTTTGCTCAATAGAAGATGAAACTAGGATGCGTTCTGTTATCATTAAGTCTTCTGTGGGAAGCACAGGAAGGCTCCAGGCTTTGTGATGGTGCCTGTCATAAGACCACTGTGTCCAGCATGTCTACATATGTGTTTAAGACAGACAGTGGCACAGGTGTCTGAAACTGGTAGACAAGGAGAATCCGCTAATTTAGAGTCAATATGTATTTCAGCTCTCCAAAGATAAGGATGATTCTTTTTTAAAAGGCAGAATTTAGACCCAGTTGGGCTCTCAGAAACCAGCACCAGGCTTACTGTTGGAGGACACCTAACTGTGCGACCTACTATAGGGAATCTGCTTTAGCAGAGGGGCTTGACTCAATGATCTCTTCTGACTAAAAAATGTTTTTTTTGAGACAAACAGGATAATTATAGACAATGTAAATTTATTACGTTCTGTCAGCTGCAAAGGAAATTTAATATAGGAAGGATGTAACTATGGAAATACATCTAATTAGGCATATTGAATCACAGCGAAGGTAAGAAGAGGCTAGGTGGCCAACACAGATCTTCAAATGCACCACCAATATGAATTTGGCGCACTGATAGATGTGTTCTATATGCATGTGGATGGATATACCATGAAGGAACAAACCTAAACTCTAGTTACACAGCCTGAAAATAAATCAGAAAAGGTAGGAAAAAATCGTAAACAAACAGAATCAGACTCAAAATCCCAAGATTTTTGTGGTTTTAATTTGTAATTAATTAAATTAATTAATTTGTAATCCCTCTAGACAAATGGTGCAGAAACTCACCTGCTTTTTCTTTTGCCTCATCCTTCTGATTCCTTAGTTACAAATAAATTTTCACAGTCAAGTGAATATTCCCCTCCATACACACACCCTAGATACACACCTAAGAGTTAAAGTCTGTATTTCAGAAGACCGATTAGTCTTCCTTTTTTGCCTGGAAACTGTTAGCCACTGACATTTAAAATTTTGGTAAGAGCCAAGTACATATAATTTATCATTTTCCTATGGAGAAGCATACAACTTAGTATTTCCAGCTGAATTCTTCAGGGTGGATCAACAGGATTTACAGTGAGACATCAGGTTAACATCAGTAAGAGCTACCGTCTCTATCTTTTCAAAATGTGTCTCCATAAATCATCTTTCCCATACTGCTTTTAAAACACAGTTCTCTCAGCATAACAGAACAGTAAGGAGATCACAGGAGTATGAAAATATCTACCACGTCCTTCTGGAAGCAGTAACATGGAATTCTAGCTAAAACAGAAAAATTTCTTCTCCAAAAGAGTGGAGAGGCACTGGAATAGGCTGTCCAGGGAAGTGGTGGAGTCACCATCCCTGGAGGTGTTCAAGGAGCATTTAGATGTTGTACTGAGGGGTATAGCTTAGTGGGGAAATATTAGTATTAGGTGGATGGCTGGACAGGATGATTTTGGAAGTTTTTTTTTCAACCTTGGAGATTCTATGATTGAAGGCCCAAACAGCTCTGTAATTAACACATTTTTCGTTGATAAAATGATGATAGGAAGAGCATTGTATTCACAGGCTCTCACAACATCAGGACCACAGTTCTAATTTTTCCAGAATAGTTGGTGGTCAAAAAACCCAGAAAACTGAAATTCTTCCCTAGAAAGGCAATAGGAGAACAGTGGTACTAAAAGATCAGCTTAGGTTGCTGGTGAAAATCAGTCCTCACGAGGTATTTCACAAGCAGACCATGGGTCTTCTACTATAATCCTAGAAAGAGGTCTCATGCTCACTACCATTCTTCAGTTAGTCTCCACTGCACAGGAAAACAAAGCTATAAACATACAGAAGCTGGAGCCTAGATATCAATTGAGAGACATTCGAGCAACATGTGAGATACCTGGGGTACCAAAGAGAAACACATATAGTCAGAATATACTATGTACAGAATTGCCCCCACAGGTGAGCAAGAGAACAAGTGGCTTTCTAGAAACGATTTCTGACTTCTCAGAAATGATAAATACCTCCCCCTGTAAGGACTTCAAAAAAAAAAAAAAAGAGAGAGACTGAAGCTACCCACAGGACATCCCAGAGACAAGTACAAAGAATGTGCAGTATCCCATTCGTCATACCACAAAAGCTTAAAAACAGCAAGCTTGAGCTAACATGAGCAGACACTTTAAGGAGAGGCCAGAAGGGAAATGAGAACCATTCAGGGAGTGACTTGGGAGAAGAGATGGGAAGAGGCAGATTTACGTAATACTAAGAACACGGTTATTTCCCAAGGCTGTGAAATCCATGTTTAGCCCTTAAATCAATGGCCTTGTTTCCAATAGTAGCTTGCAGAGTTCCTAAAAATCTCCTTTACTTTGAACTGAGTACAATTTAGCAACAAAAAAAACAGGCATTTATTTCATGTCCTAATTTAGACATCCAGTTTCTAGACCTTTCCATAACTATTTTAGGACCCAGAAGAAACCTGAAACTTTTAACAATGTCTTCCCAGACCTGTATGCTACTGCTGATGCCACAGAGGAAATACACATGGCTTCCTGTGATATTTTTTCCTTCCCTCCATCAACAGTAATTCACAGCATAAAATAACAACTCAGAGATAAACACCGACTTCTCAGCTGTGACAAATTCAGATGATATTCCAAATATAAATGTCCTAGGTTTTATTTAAAACAACAGCAACAACAAAATAACAACAAACAAAACCGAAATTGAGTTGTGGGTCAGCTCTTCCCTGGTGTTCATGCAAGGTACAAATGCAAGGGTGTGGCTCATCTCTGAAATTAGCATCTGAAAAGCTATTTTTATAAGCGTAACAGCAGTCAAGATAACATAAGTAACAACTCAGTTAGCTATCAGCTCTGTTTAAAAACAGATGGATGGTTACTAGCTTTGCACACTCAACCCTGAAAGGTTAATATGCAGAGTACATGCCTTCAAAACTTAAAGACCATTTGGCAAAATTTTTCTGAACTGAAAACCTTTTTTTTCTGCACAACTACTTTTTTTGCTGTGCAAATTCAAGACAAAAGAACTGTGTTAAAAATGACAAAATGAAGAGCTAAAACAAAAGACACGGCTCCCTCCCATTCTGCTCTGCCAAGCCATAGCAGTCCTGGTCTGCAGGCTAGAATTTCCTCTGCATGCCTATTCAACCTTTGCCTCTGCAAACATTTTGAATTAGCTTTTGAAATGTACTAATGCACCAAAGGAAACTCTGAAAGCCCAGCCAACTTTCTGACTATACACAAGAGGCTAGTTAAGCACAGTGTGCCAAGCTCTTGTCAAAGGACAGTCTTCTTACCTTGGGTAAGCGTTTCCAAAAACCTGTCTTAATAGCTGGACCCGTGCCAGATAGCCCAACAGTGGGTATACAGTAATCATCTGGAACAGCAGAAATATTCTTGCAATAAAAGACATGATGTCGTTGCTGGGAAAGTTATCTAGAAAATTCTAAACAGAGGGATAACATTACATTTACCAGTGATGTCTCAATTACATTTATGTGCTGACTTTTAATACCTGTGTTCAAGAAAGAAGATGCTAAAAGCAAATCTAAATGCTAGATCAAACCCGTAACACGAAATACTTTTTCTCCCCTTTGAAATTGTTATGTAACCAAATACCTCCTATTTTTTTAATACTAAAGAGATGACATCAGTTTCAATGTTAAAAAATATTTTCTACTCTCAGTATTCAAGAAGAGCCAAGCCTATGGAGCAGCTACCCTGACTTCTCAGACAAATGAATTCATGTGCCCTTATTACCTGTCATATCATATCTAAGGAGTGAAAAAAAGTATTTATTCAGTAAAACTGGATCATTATCATAAACAAAAAACATTGCAAACACCCGAAAACCAGAATATATAAGACTTAGATTACATGGAAATACATAAGGGTCTTTAGGGTGTGTCTACAGAAAATAAACTATAATAAAAACTGTTGTCATCTATTAACTATGGATTTTATCCCATTAAGTTACTACAGATGATTTTAAAAGTATCATTTCCTGATTAAGCAGTAGTGCCAATTCTAACTAACCTACAGTCAGAGGAAGCCTTTAAAACCTGCTTCATTGCTACCTACTATGCAGGCAATGTGGATCACTTTGCATAAAATACATCACCAGCTTACAATTCCTATCTTTGAACTAGTCAAGGGTGTGAGAATCAGCCTTGCCTATAGGCAGAGAAGAGTTTAATAGCCTTTACAGCAGTGCTATGTGTTATCTGAAAAACTCTGTTGGCAAGGCCTAGCACAGTGCTATACTGCAAATCTATCCATAGCAAGGACTGGCGTGAATGCACTTGCATTTCCTTTCATGTTTTGGGGTGGTTGTTATCTTTTTTTTTAGAGTACTTGAAACGAGCCCAAGTGAGCAGGATTTGTCACTGAACGCACAATTAAATGCAAACATGATACTTTTCAGAAATAAATAAACTAAAAATTCAAGTCTGCATTGCTCCTTTTGGTCTTCACTTTCACAGAAGATTTATTTAATGTTTGTTTTTAGACAACTACTGGCAACCAGACATGAATGCTAATGAGATAACAAAAGCATTACTCATCTGCTTGTGGTAGTGCCCATGAAGCATCAGCCAACTAACCAGAGTGAAGAACAGATGTGTCTGCCAGGATGAATCACGAAGCAAGCAGCAGAAGCAGTTTCTTTTAATAACTTGATTAAAGGTCAAAGATGACTATGTAGTGCAGTAAAACATCTTACCTGTTCAATACATTCTTTGGATAGTGGTGGAGAAGGAAAAGATGCAAAAATTATTACTCCAACATACAGATATGTTAATCCCACCAGGAAGTAAGCAATGGAGAGGTCTCTCACCTAAGGAAAAATAAAACCTTATTTTGGCCAGCACTGACACACCAAAACAGACAAAAGAAAAAGTTCAGTAGAAGATTTCTATTGTATTTGCTATTGTTGCTTTTATATTTTATATTTTATTATTATTTTACATTTTTTACTATTTTTACTATCACTTACTATTACTTGAATGGAGACTTCAAATTAGATCCTGGATCAGACCAGAAAGTGCAAGATAATTCAAACTGGGGACAAGTATTACACATTTATCTAGATATGCAAGGTATACAAGAAAAAGATATCCCAATATAAGCAGTATGCTTTTGCTGGGTACACAAACCATGAGTTGTGTACATACAAACATACAAACTGAAAGAAAGCTCTCCTTTCTTACATACACCTGTTGCTATCAGAGCCTTGGGCGCAGAGATGGTTGTCAAAGACAAAACCCATAAATGCCTTAATTGGGATTTAAATTCTACGATTAAAGATATTGGCATACCCAGCTGCAGATATAATGGAGGATAACACACTCCAAAACAGAAACCAATGCATCAGATATCCATATGAATACCGTGATAATGGAAGAACTAATTAAATTAATTAATTAAAAATACAAGTACAATCACAATAAAGCAAAAGCACTTGTATGCACAGAGGTATATATGTTCTTTAGTTTTTTATTATATGATATAATGCCTATTTTCTTTAAATTTGCATATCTGCTCTACTAGTGAATTTCTATAAATGCTCCAGATAAGTGCACTAAATAATTGAAGAATTGAAGTTCTTCAATTTCAAAGTTGAAGAATTTCAGAAGACAGTGCTAAAGCTAAGGAGATAAATCCACTTTGACAGTATTTCTGGTTTACCTCATAAGACACATAGCATGTATTCAAAGTCTGTTAGCAACATTTAGTACTGGAACACAAGCAGCAAATCTTCTCAAGAGCTTTATGAAATTGCGGAATTCACAGACACAGTACAGTGACTTAATAGCAGTGTACCTAGAGTTTTGTCTTCATCAACTCCTTTTTTTTTTTTTTAGAAATAAAGACATCTTTATTTTTTTACTAATTAATGAATTATATTCTGTATAACCATATGCTGTGCTACGAGACTGTCATACCTTATAGCAAACCATTTGTTCAGCTGCTGCTAATAATCAGCTTCTTAGAGGATTATCACTAACAACTCAATATATGGCCTATTTTCCTATGGCCCTATTTTCCTATGACTGAGAAGCAAATCTTATTAACTCAGGTACAGCACCAAATTATTAGAGCCATATGGCTTGCAGACCAGGATTCTACAGCACCCAGCCAGTTCACAGAGCATAGGAAAACGCTTCTCCAAGAGTTTCTTCACACTACTTCCTTAACAAAAGAAGTGCATCTTACACCTTTGTGGCATCTTCTGAAGGCAGGCAGTGTCCAGTAAAAATACGCACATGGTGGATTACAAATTTCAAGAAAAGTTCAGAAGAAAACCAGCTCTCATGCTCATTTTGCCAGATCAATGCTCTTTTTTTATCATCAGTTCAGAAGAAGCCAATAATCCTTCTTATCAGGCAACACAATGCTGGTAATGCAAACCCCACGGTATACGTAACAGTCCTTGCCCCCTCAACTGCTGCAACCTCTTTCTGTTCCTGCTCAGACATATACAGCTAGAAGATGTTTCTGTAGCCTCTACTGTCCTCATGCTTGTTGCTGAGAAAGGACTACAAGCTTCAGCAGAGGTTGAGAAATACAATTGTATTTAAATTATTCCAAGAATTTCTCTTCATGCTGATAGAGGAAAGCGTACAGGCTTTCAGATCCCAACTACATCTTCAACAGCACCAGTGTCGATCATAAGAAGCCATTTTTTAAATACTAAATATAATCATCTTAATTATGAGTAACTTTCATTAACTGCAGGAATCAGACACGTTTGGAGTCAGGTGGTTTTGCAGACAGATATGAACTCTCACTTCTTGAAGATAGTACTTGGACAATTTTTCAAAATATACTGTGGCACATTATCTGACAGAATTGGTTTAAAATTGCTTCAAATTTGCTATTTTAAATGTATTCCCCATGCACAAAGATAGCACAGTAACTATCAGTTGCTATTTGTATTTGGCTTATATACAAGCTCTGTGAACAAATGTCAAATTATTTTTGCTGTACAAGTACTTGCAGTTGTAGGGGCATGTGATCTGAAAACAAACCCATGCAAATTCATTCCTTTGGACTACATCTGATTAAGTGTCACTAGCAGGTGTGCTATTACCTGTGATTATATTAACTAGACCATGCTCCTAGAGTTTCTAAAGAGTGCTTGCCTAAACTAAAACTAAATGCTGTGATAATTTTTATAATTTTAAAAATTATAAAAGTTCATGACACAATACAGCCTTGACTCCAGTTGCTATCACAACACAAACAGTATTCAGATTTTGAGATTTTGATTTCTGTTAGCAAAAAGAAGTAATAGTGGCAATCAAAAACCAAATTTTATCTTTCCTCATATACATCAACTGCATTGCAAATATCTGCTTCTCAGTAAGAAAAAGGGCTATCTTTGTGCAAACGTGTGTGTATGTGACAGGAACACCTTTTGATTACTATATAGGATACCTCAGTTCACTCTCTAAAGACCTTGATTATAAATACTGTTTAGACAGCATAATTACAGATAAAACTAAAGGACACATGGGTACAGATAAAAGGATTACTTTTAAATAACAGAGCAATAATCGCATTTGTCTATTTTAAATTTAATATAAAGATCTTGATAGCCCTTTTCCCACTCAGGTGGAAGCTGCCTAAACAGAAATACAGTGGTCCTTGCATCCAGAGTTTACAGTCTAAAAATGAAATGTAAAACATATGGTTGAAAGAAAGAAGTATATGGGGGATCAGAAAGGAAGGGAAGTATCACAGATAACAGGCGGGTCACAGTCCATAAGGACTGACACCTTGCCACCTGCCAAGCCCTTCCTGAGTACACCTTTAATAACAAGCAGCTGCAGAAGTGGAAATTGGGCAATACTTCAGCTACTGCTATTGCTGACCAGTAGTTTTTCTGGTCAAGATATTCAGAATGATGCGTTAAAAGTGTCTCTGCTCTTATAGAAAAATGGACTAAGACTAGCAGCGTTCACAGAACAGACACAGAAATTGGCTTCCTAAAAGAAGGATAAGTTTGATAGACCAGATGAAGCTAACTTAGGGAGAGCTCTCATAGTACAAGACATTATGTTACAAGCCATGGATGAAGACCTAGGCACAGGCTGGGTGCAGTGCAGTGAAGGCTCTGTGGCTCCCCAGATATTTCCTCTGGGAAGACGAAAAGAGCCAGCAACTTTCAGGCCTTGTTTTCTCTGTAACGGGACTTGGGGAAAACAACTTATTTTTGTTCAGTATTTTACTGAAAGGTAGTTTGCAATTAGTCAATTTTTAGATAGTGAATTCTGTATCACTGTGTACTAATGATTACTATATTAGAAAAAGTAGCTTTTGACTGATGCATTTCAGATTGGTAACTTCTCAAAAGGCAGATGCTACTTCTGTAATATCTTAACTAGACTCTGATCTATAGCTTAAAAACAGACTTTACATGTTCAAATGATAACACATAAGAGGATGACAAAAGTACTTCACTAAAATCCATAGTCTGTGCATAATCACACAGAATCACAGAATCACAGAATGGCCAGGGTTAGAAAGGACCTCAAGGATCATGAATCTCCAAGCCCCTGCTGCAGGCAGGGCCACCAAACTCCCCATTTAATACTAGACCAGGCTGCCCAGGGCCCCATCCAATCTGTCCTTGAACACCTCCAGGGATGGGGCATCCACAACGTCTCTGGGCAGCCTGTTCCAGCACCTCACCACTCTCTTGGCTGGAAAGATAAACTGATGATAGAGTCTTGGCTGGAAAGATAAACTGATGATAGAGTATTATCAATGGAAGCTCACTCTGTTCTTGGGGAATAAACAGTTCTCCAGTAAGGCAGAAAACATACACAACCCTCAGTACTGTGCCTTCTAGAGACCCCATCTGAATAAAAAATACTCTCCTGTTCCCAGTCTTTCCCTAGGAATGTCCACAAACAATTGTTAGGAGATAGCCCTTGCACACAGAGCATGTCAAGCATAGCTGTAGCTCTTGTGCTGGGCTTGTACAAACATCCAGTTTGCTGAGAAAGTTGCTTAAGGAACCAGATCACAGAAGTGTAACAGATTCAAAACCAAAGAAACCCAACAAATAATCTTTCTCGAGTTTGTTAATTTTATGTACAGTTTCCAAACCAGTTCACTGTGTAGTTGCACAAATATACTGATTGACACAAGAAGGAAAAACTGGAAGACAGGAGCAGGGGATATTTATCTCGCGGGATTACTGAATGTAGATCTGCAGATGAAAAACTATGCTTACAAGGCTTCTGCAGGCTGTGCTGCTGACACTTGACTTACTTCACTTCACTGCTCCTGTCACACCCACAGCACTGTATGGGAACAGCAGCTGGAGGAATCATCCTCCCATGAGTGTTTTAAACTTTGGACAGTGATATATGCCTCTGACTAGAATGGAAGCTGCTATTGTTTTGGATTTCTGACTCCATAAAAGGCACTCCATTGTTTTTCTTACTCTTTTTCCACCTCTCCTAAGTAGTTCTTATTACTGCTAGTTTCAGGAAGTTGTACTTTTGCAGGTTGTCAAGTTCTGTGCCTTTTCACAGAACGCTCATGGATGTGACATGTTAATAGCTCAATCCATTAATTAAGCAGCAGTCTCCATTTGATCCCTGTGAGATACTGACATAAGAGTGTATCTTGCTGATACAAATACAGGAAGAGGTTACTCTCTACCTGTGACCAGTCACAGAGGTTGAGATTCATATAAATACGTAAACTTTCAACTTAGTCAAGCAGAGCAGTGAAATAATCACAGAACACTTCTTTAGCAATGTCAATACGTCATTAACATTTACAAAGCACTTTGCAGACCTAGGTGAAAAGCTTTTGTGGGGTTACAAACAGAAAGAAACAGGCAAAAAAATCCCTAGCTAAATGCAACTCCTAGAAGAAAAACACACAGATTTGGCTTCCTTTTATAATGCTACATGAAAAGGTGCTCTTTCTGATCAGTTTAAACACACTTCTGCAGTGCAAGATTATTGCTGAGGACTGATGCATGAGATGCATGCCTCAAAATCCAACTTAAATCCTATGAAAGGTGTTCAGAAAACTGATTCAAAAGCAGACAGCAGTTTCTTCCTCCTTGATGCAGAAAGAGCAAGCTGGAGAATACTCCAGATTTCAGACTGTCTCCACTTCTCTAACTGCTTCCTCCAATATAAATGCAAGAGGTAAAGCCGCATGAAAAGTCTTATAGCAGCAAGGAGGCAGCAGACCTTCCCTGCATACAAAGCTGACAGCAGAAATGACAGCAATTTAGAATGTGAAATCCACAGCTAAGAAAAACATAATATTGCCCTCTTGTGCACTGTAAGATTTTTTTACAACTCATTGAGAATAATTTACTTATTTTCTTTCTCCAGAGCATTGCTAATCTACTCTTTAGCTGTTAAACTTTTCAGAAATGCCTGTAAAATACAAAAAAAGCCTTCCTAGAGGATTCATGACTCCTTTTCAGAGAAGTATCACTATCTTGGCTCACAGGGACAAAAAATCTATCTATGAAGATTTATCAAAGCAAAAAGTCATGTCACCTCAATGCACTGGTACGTAACCTGCACTTCACCTGAGTAAATAAATCAGATGTACTAGTTTTTGACCCATCTAATACTTTAAAATATTTTTATGTTACTGTAGTTAAATTTCCAGCCAAGATTTTAATGAAGCTAGACAGGAATCCCAGAATGCAAGTGAGAAAAAGAAATCAAATAAATGTATCTGAAACATTGTACCATCCTTACTCAATTTTTAAGACTAGAAAACATGAAGAAAGAGTGCAGTTTCATGTGGATGAGTAGTAAATAACAAAGGTTAAAGACCAGCCCAAAGACTAGATATCACAGAAGTTCCCAATCCAGACTTCAGCTTTGAGGATTTCCTAAAGAGGGTCAGGTTTCTCTGCAAACCTTAACTTCAGTTCACAGATTCACTCAAGCAACTCTCGAAAGAGACATTATCTAGAACCCAACATATAGTTGGATAGAACTATAGCTGTGTAGAACAATAGTTCAGGTCTCCTTTAGAATGAGTTCCATGCTTGAGATTCTCCTATTTTCTGTTTTAAAATCCATGACTTCTTCTACAGCAACCTTGTCAGTTTTTCTGCTTCTTCTGTGTAATTTGGCCACTTAATCACACATAAGCCTGGGATGTTCCTCAAGACTTTCATTTCAATAAATTTTTCATTCTTCTGTTACTCATTGGTAGCCAGTATGTATAACTTGTTTCTTCTCAGATCACAAAACCAATTTACATATTCTCAAACTGTTACAGTCTCTGGATTAATTTCCAGAGAAACAGACTGGAAAAAAATCACTGTTGCATGGTTATCTAGTTAAAAATCAGCAAAGCCTTGTGGAATTACTTACGTTGTTTTCTTGATTCTTGTTATTTTGAAGAAGAGTGATGACACAATTGTGAATGAAGAAGGCAAGCGTTAGAACCCCTGTGAGCTGAGGGAACAGAACTCTAAATTCTAAAGGAGGGGAGAAAAAGTGTTAGTAACTTGTTTCTATGAAACGTCAATATCCAGATAACATATAGTGTGGTAGATTCACAAAAGTAAGAATAGACGTGTTGAAAAGGGACAATCTGTCCTTGACCATAGCCAACACAAATATTTAATTACGAAGTACAAAATGCATGAAGATGGTGGTTACTATATTACGCAGTCTACAAGAAAGTTTCTTGCATGACCCCAGCCACTAAAGTGTAGCAGGTTAATCTAGGACTTAAACATACAAGCCTTCCTGCTTCTGAACAGTTTAACTGCAGAGCATTTTTTAAAGCAGGAATTGGTTCCACTGCAGCTGTAAATGTTCTGGTCCCCAAAAATGGAAATGAGAGAAAAGCTATTATATGCTCTGAGACCTTCCTTTGTTTTTGAAAAATGATGAAGATTAGCAAACTGGTTATGCTCCTAAAAGAAAACTGCCATATGCAGATGTTAAAGATGCTACTTCAAAAACAGGGTACAAGCCCCTTCACTAACCCTTTATAGCATCAATGATGCCTTTTTAAAAATCTGTAGTCTCCATGGAAATAGCAGAGTATTATTTCTTTGAATACTAGAAGGACTATGTTATGCTGAATATTTGAAGGGTCTGCTCAGCCCAGAGAAGAAAAAACTGAGAGGGGATCTGATCAATGTTCATAAATATCTAAAGTGTAGGAAGTAATTGGACGCGGCCAGACTCTTTTCAGTGTTGTATAGTGACAGGACAAGGGATTCTAGACAGTCAAAAACTAGAACACAGAAAGTTCCACACAAAGAGGTGGAAGAACAGTGAGGGTGACGGAGCACCGGAACAGGTTGCCCAGAGAGATTGTGGAGTCTCCTTCTTTGGAGATATTCAAGATTCATCTGGACGCCTACCTGTGCAACCTACTGTAGGAAAACAGCTTTAGCAGAGGTTGGACTCTGATTTCTAGAGATCCCTTCCAACCCTTGCAATTCTGATTATGTCCAGAATACTTTTCCTTGAAGTGCTGCAACTTATCTAAGAATTTACCAATGCCGTAACACGATTAAAGCACCATCTTTGTTGATATTATAGAAGGATAAATATATACTGGAGAGAGTTACAGAAATTCGATATGTGAGAGCTCGCTCAGCTTCTGGAAAACATCCAGCAATACAGCAGAACACTCATCAGATGCTCAAAAACCCTCAGAGATCACACAGAGCTTTATGCAAGAATATTTAAATCAGCTTTCTCTAAAGTGCAATGAGGTTGAGCCAGTTAAAAATACTTCAAGCAAATAACACAGGGTTCAACAAGTTTGACAGAAAATACTTTCTGTAAGGGTGGATTCACTGTATTTTCAGTACCTAACAAGCACGATGTGTTACCAATAGATTCAGAGTGCTTGTTTTCCATCCACTACTTTAATGTCAATAATAAAAATTGAACCATCAGATTCAGAATTTCTTTCAGTATTGTTTTCCTCATCACTACAACAACCTGCTGTAGCTGCATTTGTGTGCATCACCTACATGCTTTGTCTATATTCTAACAGTATTAGTAATGTTACTGAAATAGTCTAACGACTGGGTACTCCACTTCTTCAAATGTAATGCTATATATGATAGGAAGTGATTCAATTCAATATAGGGTGACCTGATCTGGGTGGCAACATTGCCTCTGAGTTGGAACCCAACTCTAATCGTTCCATGACTTTACAATAATATTAGAAGACACAACTCCTGTAAAGAGTAGGGAAAAACAGTTTAAGATCTGGTCCTTATTTCTCTTTTGAGGTCTCCTAAACCAAGAAACTGATCTCTTTAGACTATCTTTTCATTCAGTAGAACTGTTTATGCAAACATAATGTCTCACAGAGTGATTTGTAACGTTACTGTGAGAGTGGGGGAAAGCAAAACAACATTCAAGAAAGGAAAAAAGGGTACCGGAAAGCTAACAGCTGTTGGAAAGTGAAGATTCCTGAACCTCTAGATGCAACTTCAGACAGCATTTCCTTACTGTGCTTACCACACAAAGATGTTAAGAGGTGAACAAGACAGACATTTTAGAATTGTTTTAGAAAGCAATTAAGCCCATCATATACATTTCATTACATTCTTAATTATCTTACCTGGTACAAAAAATTCATTCCCTGTAAACCAGTTGAATTCTAAGTGAATTCCCAGGTGAGCAGCCTTTACAGTAACCAGAAGAACTAAGTAGATAACTGAAACCGTACCTAGAAAAGACCAAACAAACACCAAGAGGCAACAGAAAGTATTTTTACTGTGCTTTTCCTTGCTCCTTCCAACCAGTTATAAGTAGCCGAAACTTTTACAGGTGGCATTCATTCTTAAAAATACAAAATAGTTCCAAATTTTCTTTTAGTTTCTTTTTTTTATATGTGAGAGAAAGAGCAATGCAAACTTGCACTGAATGCACATGTTAAGTATGTTTAATGTTCTGCAAATACTGCACTAGTCACAGTGAACCAGCAATCCCTCATGCTAGTTAGGTAAGAAGAGCTCTAGACGATAACCGATGGATTCTAGATTCAACTGTCAGGATTCTAATTGGACGTGAGACATTGCTGGCCAAAGAAAGCACAGCTATCTCAATGTCCATTCACTCAGTCCCTTGACTGCATAGTCCAGTGAGAGATGAATTAATGCTTACTACAGTTGTCAACTTTAAACTGAGAGATAAAAGTTTGATAACAATGCTTGATAACTTTAAAATTTGTCATGATCATGGAGAACTTTGGTCATAATACAGGATTTGAACTCCACCTCATTGGTCCAGAGTCATCCAGCAACAATCTGCACTGCTAAGGGATTATGAATAAGATAACAGTTTGTACAAATGCCTTGCTGTGTCTGCCTGTGAGACAGAGAGAGTATGAACTTGGCTTCAGAACCTAAAAGAGAGGGGCAGAAGAAGGGCAGATAATAACTACTCAGAAATTGAAGGAAACCTTGCACCAGTAATTAAGGCTACTGTGATGTAACCTCCAGGTCAACAATATTGTATTATTTCCAAGGCTACAAGGTAAATTACAAAAATACAGTCAAAGACTAAGAAGATAAAAGGTTCTGTTCTTTAGGATCCACTTAACAGCTAAAATTATCTACAGTTTCCTCACAATTTAGGTTTCCATAAGTATGAAGATAAGCAAGAGTTTTCTACAAGATTCATTTTAGTACATGAAAAATCAGACAAGTCTTCCAATTCTTGTCTGAAAAACTTAGAAGATTTACAGAAGCTAAAGCAGCTTTGAAATTCTTCTGCATTAGATAATAATCAATTGAAGTTATGAGAAAATTCATGCTTTAATACACAGGTTAGTTCTCAAGTGAAAAACAGATGCCTATGATAGAGTGCTTATTTTAAAAGCAGATATATTTATGGCATGTCTCACCTGAAAAATATTTTCTTAACCCTAAACTTGATATTCTATATAAACACCTGACTTTTTAGAAAGAAGCCTTATCACTTACTCAAATTCCTATATTGTATCTCCATTTATTAGATCCAGCAATAGTAGTTACAAGCTCTAATTCACTGTCACACTGGCTAAATAAAGTCTTCAATTCCCTGCCTATTATCTTCTTTACAATACAGCTTCATCTTTTTCAAACAGTTCTGTATTTTCCACCTGTTTTTTTCCCCTTCTCTTCAGTATTGGCTTCAATGCAATGCCTTCCAACATCATGAAAAGTAACTGCCCCCACTATCACTTACGTACTTTATTTACTTTACCATTCCCAACTGCTTTGTTCTTCTATCTCAATGCACAAAAACAAGGAGAAGTCACAATTTTTGTCCTTGTAGTACAGAAAGGCCAGATGCTGAGCTGAAGCAAAGCATGGCAGCAGGTTACAAGCACTGACTGACTGACGTTGCTGTGAATTAATAAACTGATTAGTGTCAAATTACTTCAGGTCTGAAGTACTTATCTTTGGAAATAAGTGCCTGTTCAAATACTTACCAGACGAGGAAGGGTGTAACTGACTGGTTGGGCCAAAGTAGTACGTATCAAACACTGCACTGCAGTGTGTACCACAGTTTGGGAAAATTTGTTGCAAATACAATGGAATTTATACAGGATTATCAAGGGAGCAAAGGGAAAAAAATCATTTCCTACTCACCACAAGGCTCAAGCAAAACAGGGTGGAAAGTCTGCAGGTGATTAACAAACTGACCTATGAATTGCCCAAGGTAGTATGCTGCTGGCAAGCTTCTACTAGAGTAGATTTCAGTGCTTTCTATATACTTCAGACACAATAAGACAATGCTCTAGTAGTACTCGTTACCTACCTAGGACATTAAACTTTGCAAAGAAGGATGGAGACTTCAGATTTAGCAGGGGTAGAAGAACAGCAATCAAGTAAAATGGTACTGTTTGTGATTTGCTCCACCACTCCTCGAAGAGCTGAAAGCCTGTACTGTTCCCAGAAGAGAATATCATACTCTGGTTCTGTGGTGGGTGATCACTAGCAGCATTTGGACAAATGACTGAAAAGGAAAATAAAAATATACACAGATGAAAAGAATTTCACTTGCACATAGTTTTCACTACTAAGATCCCATAATTTCTGGATTTTGCTTTACCTCTAGGGCGAAGAACCAAAACCAACGTTTAGCAACTCAGATCTTCTTGTTTTTTATCAGTAGTTCAGTGCTACAGTTTCCCTGTTGTGCACCTTGTACTACAAGCTGAGCACAACAGAAACACTCACTTGTTTGTAGCTTGAGTTTTGGCATAGAGTCTCCAGGGTTACCTACCTGCAGCCATGTTCTGTGCCTACATAAATCTGCCCAAATTCAGTCAGAGCAGCACACCTCTACATTTCACTTCATGCTTTGCATTGCGATCTGTCCTGCACTCTTCACATCATATTAATAAATGCATGCACATCTGTCTACAAAAGAACCTGCATCACTGCATGTTGCATGTGATACACAATGAAACACACAAATAGCTTGACAAGAAAGCTATGATTACCAGGGGCAGGTCTAAAACTCATGTACAAAAGCAAACATACTCTCATCTTGATGTAATGTCAGGTTGCAAGTAAGTCACTTTCAGACAACAGAAGCAACATGAGAAATACACACATAATTCTGTGAAAAGACAATGTCAAATTCCTGTTACATGGTAACACCTGAACAGCACCTTAACAAGTGACTGGAACAAAACCAACCAAACATAAAAGATGCTGTGGAAAATATGCCAATTGTGAAAATATGCCAATTTGCTTCCGGTTAATATTGGCATTTCTTTCTAACATGTCTATAAAGTTATGTGTTGAAATATGAACCTGCCTTACAGTTCTCATGATTTCTCCTTTCTAACCTTGGCATTCCACAATATTTTATAGCCTGCCTCCCACACTGCCTTCATAAGTATTTTGTTACAAAGGCAAAGGTGTATAAAGTTTTTTGAGACCATTATGTTAATTCCAGTATTCTTACTTGCATTACGTTACTTATAACAGGACTGTTTCACAGACCTTGAAAAATGCTTTTGGTTTCTGTGATCTCCTTCCTCCCTCCCCCCCAGATATCCAGCCAAGAGACATCTGATTATCCAGCAGCCCTTAGTTCTGTATTGATTCTGCATTGAATCTTCCAGTAATGCTATGGAATAGAGGAATATGATTTTCTAACTTTTCTTTAAGTTGCATCTCCTGCTGCCAGAGAATGGGATGAAACAAGAGAAGCAAGATGAAACAAGAGAAGTTTTGCTCACAAGAGAAAAAACACAGCAGCAGCTTCTGGTGCCTTGCTCATAAGAACTTAAGGAGAAACAGAGTTCAGCACTAAATCAATGCAAATCAACTGGTTTTCAGAATTATTTGAGTTCCTTCACCTGACTCCAAATAGCTGCACTCCAGCAACACTATTACAGCTGGCATGACACAGCTGTTTCTGAAGTGTTTCTCTATCCCCAAAAGAGCTTAGAATAAAGAAAACTTTCAGCTTCATAAAATAGAGCTACACATCAAGTTATTTAGTACATCAAGGCAGAAAGACCTGAAGCTGATGACGTGCAAGCTCCCGCCTTCACTGTGTGTTACACTCTGCCTATTTGAAAACTCTCAATCCATCTTCATAATTGAATGCAGATTCTTGTCTTAGAGCACATTAGAGTCTCCGCGAAAACAAGTGAACACTCATGCAGCCAGATGCTATTTCTTTCTGTGTTCAGCAATTAAAAAAAAATGCTTGCAGCATTAAAATAAATAAATAAGTAAATAAATCCTGCAGAGTTATTAAGGAACAAAAACATCCCAGCCAAGAATTTTCAACAGAAAACACACTTCCTATGCCTCAGTTTCAGGGTGCAAAGGTTACAATTCCTTAAGGAAACTCCTAATCACACAACTGTTAGTTGATCTAACATTCATGGCTTTTAGGAGTACCTAGCCGGGTATACACTAACTCATAATATATTTCTTAAGCCTTGTCCTCTCCCCTGTTGTTTCATTTTAAATTATAAATCTTTCCAAGTGTAGTTAACTGTAGAAGCAGAAACTCCAGATAGAAAACATTCGTTTTCTAAAAACAGTTAGATTTATTTATACATTTTATAGCCGTAACAGGGTTAAAATTCATGCATGAAAACTGCCTTGAAACTCCCTCCCCTCCAAATTAGTAAGTGCTTCTTACCTTTGTTACTTCCATTTGTGCCTGGAACAATATCTGTTACATTGATATCATGAACAAAGTCTGAAAAAAAAAAAATAAAAAATTGTATTAGCAATGTTCTGATTCTTCTATTAGGCTTTTACCCGTTAACAAAAATGTTAAGGAAACATTTTGAAAGAATAACATCAGAGCTGCAATATGCAATTGGCACTTCCCACCAACCTCAGATGGGTATTTCAAGGACCACTGCACCACTTTGTTCTCAGCAGTCCACTCCATCTATGCAATACCCAAGCATACCCTTCCAGCTGCTCATTCCTACTCCCCCAGCACATGTCCACCAGTCCCTGCTCCTTGACTGCAGCACTGCATAGTAGAGTACTGAGGAGATACATCTCAAAAATCAGTTTATTTTGTGACAGAAAAAAAAAAAGTTATTCTTAACCATAATCTTAATCCATACAATATTATATAGATAATGCTTCCCCTACTCATTTTTTCTAACCGTTCTTCAGAGCCTGAAGGATGTTTTTTTTTTTCCCCCTCCATTTTGTTCTTTAAATAATGTCAAGTCTGGAAAAATGTCTAAGTCTCAGTATCTACAGTCATCTCTATTAGTACTTTATCTCAACTGTGCTCCTATGCGACTTTACTGCAAGTAAAAATTTTCAGGTTTCTCAAACTTCATCAGTAAGAGTGCTGTCTCCTTATATTTACATATATATTGATGCATGCAGAAAAAGCCCATCAGCCTGGAAATCTAATTAGTATCCCTATGGTTAAAATTTGCTTCTGCTGCACGTGGCAGTATTATGCTCACAGAAAATCAAATAGGGTAGAAGGGTTCCGATTTTTAAAGCAATTAAGAGCAGCTTGTCTCTCGTACAGAAAGGAATTGCTTTTCCTGGAAAAAGACCTATTGTGATGATTCTCAAACTTGCTTAACAGAATCAGAATGTTTTGGCAAGGATTAAAATGCTAACCTTATAAAGAAAGACAAACTCTGTAATAACTACGTAGTGTAACCTTAAGAACATAAGAATTATAAAATAATGCATTCGTTACTCAATAAAGTAACATGTGTCCTTCAGGGATGGTGAGACTCTAATTAAACTTTGCTTAGGGGGCATAAGCATCTTTGCTGTTATATGCTTCAAAAAATATTTGTTAAGTACATTCAAAACAGAAGCCTTTAAAACTCAGTAGTGCTATTCAACACTCCTAGTCAGATTTTCAAAGCTCACAATTCCATCTTTTATTCTCATAACTCTACATACCTAATTGACTGTATCCACAAAAGCCTCTGTGTGTGCGCACATACAAGGATGTAACTAACCAAGATTTTCTTCTATAGCAATGCCAGACTAAAAATTGTTCTCCCGCTGTCCTACTGTTCATCATTCCTTTAAGGATGCTAGGAGAAATGGTCTATATGACTATATACATATATATACACTTCATTTGCTGGAATCTAGAATTAAACTTTTTTTTTTTGCCTTAGAGAACGGGACTTTGCCTAACAGAAAGGGACCCTGGTGTAATGATGGACAGTTGGCTGAATATAAGCCAGAAATGTGGCCAAGAAGGCCAATGGCATCCTGGCTTGTATCAGGAATGGTGAGGTGAGCAGGACTAGGGAAGTCATCCTGCCCCTGTACTCGGCGCTGGTGAGGTCTCACCTCGAGTACTGTGTTCAGTTTTGGGCACCTCAGTACGCTGTACACAGTACACAGTGTACACAGTACACAGGACACTGAGGTGCTGGAGCAAGGCCGAAGAAGGGCAACAAGGCTTGTGAAGGGCTTGGAGAACATGGCCTACGAGGGGAGATTGAAGGAACTGGGTCTGTTTAGTATGAGGAAAAGGAGGCTGAAGGGAGACCTTATTGCTCCCTTCCAGTACCTGAAAGGTGATTGCAGAGAGTGTGGGATTGGTCTCTTTTCATTGATGACAGGTGACAGGATGAAGAGAAGTGGCCTCAAGTTGCACCAGGGGAGGTTTAGGTTGGGTAACAGGAAAACTTTTTTACAGAAAGGTTTGTTAAGCAGGCTTCCCAGGGATGTGGTTGAGTCACCATCCCTGGATGTGTTTAAAATCTGTTAGGATGTGGTGCTTAGGGACACGATTTAGCAGAAGGTTGTTAGTATTAGGTTTTATAGTAGTTTGGTTAGGTTGTGGTTGGATTTGATGATCTTCAAGGTCTTTTTCAACCTGCACAATTCTATGATTCTGTGATTTAGGTGGAGATCTTTTTCATTAACTTGGATCATTCTGAATAGTTACATCAGCACAAAGAAGGAGGGGTGGAAAGAAAGTGGAAAGAAACAAGTCAGGATTGAGTGTGGAATTTTTTTTAAGCCCAACAACGAAAACACATTTTTTAAACTAGACCAAGAAGTCTGCACTCACTTGCAAGCCAGTTAACTGGTAGTTTGTCATTTATTAGAAACACATACTGAGAAATTGAGAAACTGGCTTTGAAGACATGTAAGTGACTATGCCTATAAATCCATACTTACTTATTCTCACTCGACTGTTCACAGAAAGTAACAAAATCAAGATTAAGTACAAGGGACAATCCTTTCTGAATATAAACCAAAGTTTTGATCTTTAACCAAGACAGCTGTTTAAATTAACCAAAGATTAATACTTACTGTATATAAACTTTCCTGTGTTGAACAGAAAGTTGGACATAAGCACCCAATAAACGACCATGGCTCCAACAAGAGATACCATAGAAAATAACAGGCTTGACCACTGACCGAAAGATCCAAAATAATACTTGCAAACATCTGGGAATTCCCAGTTCGAGGTATCTGTTAAAGCTGAAGAAGATTAAAAATAAACAAATCATAGTAATAAAAAAATTTAGAAATCTAAACAAAATGTTGTATTAGGGTCACAAGAATTCTTCATAAAAGAACAAGTTGATTTTTTCTGAATTCTGACACAAATTCAGAGGGTTTCAAAGAGCTAAGAAGATTGCTATTAAATTTTAAGTACAAATTCATAATGCTGTTCTTCTTCACATAGGTTATGACATTAATGTTGCTTGTTCTACAGGCGGAGCCTGAAGAATTAGAGGCTTTACCTTGAAGAAGTGCAGCAATACTACTACTTTGAGTACTTTCAGAAGCACAGGCACTAAGGGTTTGGGCCAAAAAAATGCATGCTTGCATTTGCAGCTGAGTCTTTCTGCAGAAGTAACAGTCCTCAACAATACTTGGAAATGAGCTACATGCTGGAGCAGTAGATATTAACTACCTTTTATTTGAACAAGTAGGGTGGTAGTTTATATGTAAAAGAACAACAGTTATGAGTATTGAACAATAAAAATATACTCAAAGTAGATACACCCTCAATGACGCAATCATGCATAAACTGTATCCAACACAGACTGCAGAATACATAAATGCCTTCAGTTGTGAATATGAGACAGCAGAACTGCAGTTCTCAGATGGCTAAATGACAAGAAGAACCTCATTCCTTTATATTCAGACACAATTTATTTTTTATATACAAATATTCCAGTGAACAGGCATACGACAAACTATTGGAACTCTGTATTTCACAGTTTTGTGGAAATATTTGCATTATGAAGCTTACGTATCATTTTTCGTGATTTCACAACTCTGTAACAGCAATAAAGTGTCAGAATGCCCATCAGTATGATGAGAATGATTCCAGAAGTAAATCCTGCCTGTTTAGAGGGAAAAAACAACTCTGTAAGTATCAATAACACTACAAAAAAGCGAGCCATATTGCCAAAAACATTTTCATAACCATATGTTTTTCATATTTTTACCTGCTTTATTCCCCATGGGATACTTAATATAGATGTGCCCATCATTGTATTCCATATCACAAATCTAGGAAGAAAAGATAAAAAGTCAGTGAATGATTTTAAAAAGACTCTTACTCCATACTACTTTCTTAGATAAAATACAGAATATTTAAAAAAAAGCATTCTATGGCTACTGTATGAGAAGGTGCTTAACATACATTGTCACTATACTGGAGTTTTTACCATAGCCATCTGTGCAACTGTCAACTTTAAATGCAGTTCCTAATGGACTATATACATAGATTTCATCAGGAGCTGGAAGTACGTGATCAGGAGCAACCTAACAAAAGAATAAAAAGGAATAATTATTAGTAGCATCAAAATAAATATTACCCCAAATACAGCAAGTCAACTGCTGTAAAACAAAATCTTTCCAGGAAAAGCACACTTTAAAAGAAAAAAAAAAGGTGGGCCATGATTTTTTTTTTTTAAGAACATTAAAAAACGTTCACTGGATTCTTAACTAAGCAGTAGAAAGGCAGATTTTCTACTGAAAAATACTGGTGACATACAGAGCTCAATCACACAGACATAGCTCAATCACCACAGCTGATTGGTGCTCAAATCCTCCTCATAAAGGGCAGCAATGAGTACACCTATCTGGGCAGCCTGGACCACTCTTCCAAAATTAAAACTATATCTTTTCTTAGATGGTAAAGACAGAAGAATTTGATCTTGACTTGTGATAACAAGAAACTTTGTCAAGATACTCAGCTACTAGATATCTACTTCAAAGCAAACTACCATTAGTTTCCCCTCTACCATTGTTTGTACTTCTTTTATAAACCTAGGCTGTGGAAGACCCAACACTCAGTTCATCTGGCCCTGTCTTTGTCTCACCAATGCCTTGTCTGAAGGAGATGTGAGCCTGCTATAGTAATGAATCCGCTTATTCATTGCTGAAGCTTCGTCAGAGACTCTTTGCATGTCATCACTGGCGCTGACTATGTTTGTAGGCTCCACATGAAATGGTCTAAAGGAGGGGGATGAAAAATGAAAAGAAAGGAATATTTTTAGCAATCCTGTACTACAAGAGTTAACATAATTCAGAGAACAGCTTAGAATCACTCTGGCCACGTCTGTCATTCATTGACAAAAAACAAATGCTGTGAGTGAAACCATCAAATCTTTATATAATCTACATTGCTCAGACTCTGCACAACAACCTAACATCAAAATTCAGACCTAATATCCATTCTAGTAGCTCTCAGCAATGAGTCACATGAGTAACACAACATTAATGAGCTTGGCCAAGCACATTAACATTTATAACTTGTGCTGCCAGAACTAGCCATGATGAATAGAGCTAGAAACGGAAGGCACAAGTAAGGCAGAAACAGAAAAAAGATAGAGAAAAAGAGGAATAAGCAGAGATAATGAGAACCTGCTAAAAAAAAGGCTGGGAACTAATAATCTAGCCAAAAACTCTGCATAAAATTGTGTTTAATGCAGATGGAACCAAGCCCAAACAAATCAGTGTGGCACTTTTGAGCCAAAGAAACCAGGACTACACTTTGCCACTGAAAAGTAGATGTCCACTTTCAATTCTGAATCACCTTCAGATTTCCTTTCGAATTTAGACTAATTACAGAGAACGAGATTCCCAGCAACAGATGCCCCACAGTCCAGACATACCCTCTTGAACACAGACTACAGCAGGAAGGTGGCCTTCCTTTCCCTCTTCTCTAGTTATACAGGTACTGCAAGTATGGTCACAGCCACTGCAGAAGAATGCAGCCACCTCCACCAAAGTTTTCTCTATGCGTACCTACTCGTGGAGCAGAGTGATAGCTGCAGTTTTTCCTGCTCCTGATGCTACAGCAAATCTTTAGCAGAGATTTCATCATGTTTAAGGCTACCAACAGTAAAAATGAAATTAGCAATAAATCCATGTCATTTTTACTGTAATACAATTATGGTCTATTTGAATGACATCCTCAGTACACCTTTCTGGCTCAGACCTACAAATGAAACCTTTCTGCCACTGCTCTCAGTAACAAAGGTTTCATTCTTTTCTCATGTGAATAATTAAGCATTTCCTTCCCATTTATCCAGAGGAAAGAAAAGGAATATTGCTCTGAAGTCAGCTGTGATATCTTTGAAAAGATGATGCTAAGTTCTAGCATGGCCTCATTCCTGAATGCTTAACAGGCACAGCAGTTATGAGTATCTGTAGGAGAAATATAAACCAGTAAAGAAAAATCTAAACAATCAGAGAAAACTATCTCTCTTCACTCCTTTACAAGTTAATCATTCTTTCCTTCATCTTAAGACATCATTACTTATATCCTCCTTCACTATGGAAAAAAATTGCTTAGACTTGCTAAACCATTTCATATACACTAAAATCAAAATGGACACTTCTCAGTTCTTACAGCATTCCACACTGAGGTGCGTTTGGTTTTTCTTTTTTTTTTTTTTTGTTTGTTTGTTTGTTTGAAAAGAGTTCACAAAATGAAGGGGAAAATGCTGATTATGTATGTGGACTTCTAGGGTGTTCCTATAAACAATTAAGACTTTGTCACAACTAAACAGAAATAAATTTTAAGCCATAGCCTTAATGTTCAAGCCTGAAGTGCACCTTCGCAAACAAAAATACTCATGGATTGTCAGCTTTATGAGACTTAACTTTTTTTAGCTCCAAATGTACTGGGTTGATCCAGTCATTGGACACTGCTGCAAAAAATATCTCATTAGAAGAGCTGTATAATAAAGATTGTTGCAATGAAAACAGGAAACATTATATGTTTGAACGCCTCCTCAAATGAGCTCTTTTTTTTTTAATTAAAACATAAAATATAACTGAAAGTACACTTTTCATTTTCTTCAGTATTTTGATCATTGTCTGGACTGAATAAGCAAAATGTCACTATTCTATACAACAGAATAGCATGATTTAGAATCAAATATATGTGTGATAGAAACAAACAAACAAACAAGCAAAATAACACAAAATAACCCCAAGGAAATTCTGCATTTGCGTTGCTGCTGCTTTCTGCCTGGAGGAATACATGTTTAATGCAGACAATACTTGGGTGACTTCCCCTTCTGGTAACATCAGCTGCACCCTTCTGGTGTACACCAGATGAGAGTGATAATGATCTAAAGCAGTAATTGATTTTTTTTCCTCAGAATACCTCCAGTCATTTTGAGCAAGTGACTATGATAAGACAGACTGATCCCTCATCAGTTCTACAGTTGCTACAGGTCTCCCAGAAAACATTTGTAAGTTAGGTAGGCAGACTAGGATATAATCTTCCTCTTTGATCTCATTGGGCGTAGGTGGCACTCTTGTTTAGGATCAAGGCCATTACCCAGCCCCCAGTCATACTCAGATCAAAGACTGGCCGTAGGGCATAATCAGACATGTCCAAAAGCTTTCAAGAGAGTACTTTAAGATTTTCAAAGCCCAAAGGAGGTAGGACACAATTTGGGCTGCATTTTGGTAAACTCTTTCTTAGGGACCTTAAGCTTAGTAGCCATGCAGTCTGCACATACAAGCATCTGCAGTTGCAACAGATCCTAGAAAACTTCCTGATTTACACAAGCAATCTCACTGTATAGCTCATGTGGCAAAACGAATATGAAAAGGATGCGGGGCAATGTGATCTGAGGGAAGGGGAGAGGCTCCATGACTAAAGGCTGTGACTATTAATGCAGAACAGTGCAGACAATTACTATGCACTGAGACAGATGACAGTACCCACAAATGTATTATATCCATACCAACAAACACAATTACAACTTGTATTTCAATAGCTAGCATGAAAACCAATGCTCTTTTTAGCTGGACAAACACACCAGTAAAACATGGCTGTTTTCCACAACAGAGTGAGTAGAGACTACATGCAGGATTCCATGCAGGAGGTCCTTACCTCCCACACATTACCCCTTGCACATGTACTTCAGAAACCATTCCCTGCAAACCTGTAACTTGCTCATCTACTACTTATTTTCTCACAAAGAAACACAGTTAATAAAAATCTAGCCCTGGTCTACAAAAAAAGAAAGCTGTAGTCCAAACTTTCTCATATTATGAACTTGGGTAGCAAAGGAAATGAGAAGAGATGCTCACAATTAGAGCTGTTTCCAAGTATTACTCTGTGTAAACCTCAAATTTTGGATTGGGAAGGTTGAGGAAAGAACAGAATAAGTAATTTTGTTTCGCAAGCTACATATAATCTCACAGCTGCTAGCACCTGTAAGGTGACACATCTCATTTCTGGATATTTTCAGAAAGGTATTCTATTTTGCAGAGCAGTGAAGCAGTACAGCCAATACCTACCTTACCTTTTAGTTGAAATTTTTAAATAGCTAACAACTGTTTCTGGAGAACTAAGCCCTTACAATGTAGTTTTTAATGCTGTTGAACGTGTTTTAGATCTGTGTGATGTTATTAACATTATTTCATAACTGAATAATAGGAATAGCACAGTTTATTTTTTTCCCTCCAAAAAGACCACAAGAAGCTTATTACACAGATTTCTTCAACAAACTCCGCATCTGTTAGCTACTTTTTCAGGAGATTGTAAATATTATTATTAGTCACCAAATTATTACAGGATCACTGTACAGAAGAAACTATGAAATGAAACTGCTTCACTGTCATGGAAATTGAAGTAAGGAGCAAAAGTAGTAAGAAAAACTATGGATATAGACATCTATAGTCAATATCTGTATTGACTGTGGATTCATAGATTGATATTTCTTCCACCTAGCTGCCTAAGATCACTACAGATGTTATTGTACTTACCTTGAGGAAACCAGCTGCAAACAACTCCATGACTTGATTTCTACCATCTAAGCTGTATGAATTTTAAGTAATGAATTTTAAGTATACTTGCAGTGTATCTTATAAGGTCTTTATTCTCTTGGCAATTTAACCTTTTCCCATATTCATATTTACCAGTGTAATTATAATGATCAGTGCATGACCACACAACTACCTTAAAATATTCAATGGAAGCAGAACTGTGATAATCCTTTAGAGGATGCACACCAGTTTAGCAAATAAGTACCACAAGCTTTGCCACACCACATTTCAAGCACTTTCCCTCTGTCAAAGGTAAAGACATTCTATACCTCTCTTGGAACAGATAAGAAGGTTCATAGAGAGGTATTGTGAGGAAGTAGTATGATTAGGAATTAGTAGAAATGTTAGTGATACAGAAATATGAAAACCAAGCAATGGAATAAAAAGTTCACGTGGATTTGGAGAAGTAAAAGCAAGAATGGAGAAACTGTAGCCGCCGTGGAAGTCAGCCTTTACCATTATCTACTTTTTTAAGTTAAGAGAAACGTTAAAACGAAAAGGAAATAATTTCACATGAGAAAAGCTTATCTGACTGCCACCCACAAACACTGTTTAATTTGTAACTGTTTAATTTCACCTTCTGATCTTTCCTGCATTGTAAGAGAACATCATGGCACTTCAAAAGGAATTGAGGGGAAAAAAAAGCACAGAAGGCTTGGTCTTCCCTTACAAGGGGCACTGTTTTTCATATGCAAAACAATACACTGACAAAAAGTATGTTTAAAGAGCATTAAGAAGAAAAAAAACTGCTATCCCTTGAATATAGTAAGCATCACCAAGCCATTACAATGACAGTCTGGCTTTCAAAGGGCCCTATAAAACAGGCAAACAAGCCTAATAGAGTGCAAGAAATTCAGGTCATTGTGAAGAACCCCCTTTGAGAGTGTTAAAAGTAGCTCTGTATTTTGCCCAGAATACTAGGAGAATACTAGATAAAATAATTTACAGTTCTATTAAAAAAAGCAATTTGTTCATTGTTTCGAAGTAAATAATGAAAAACACGCCTTTCAAAATCCTAAATCTTCCAAGCTTTTAAGAAAACCAAGTAACGATGTAAATGAAATCAAATCCCAAAACCCAAGCAAAGGAACAGAACAGTATCAAAAAAGGACAAAATGAACTTCAAAAGATTACAAAGAACTCTTTGATACCGATCTCAAAGCTTAATAGGGATTCTGAAAATTTGTGGTAAGTGACCACATACCTACATCTGATTATAGTTTCTGAACAGTGAGTTTAAAAAAGGAGCAACTAAGCAGAGCACATCATGTACTATTACTGCATTTGCACCATTGGATCTTTCCGGATGATAAACCTTTCTCCCTTCAGCCACATCTCCCTGAAGATCGAAAGAGCAATCCCTTTCCAGTCACACTTCCAAGACCACACAGTCCCCAGTATTGCTCTGACCATGTTAAGGCAAGCTCTTCTTCCTTGTTTCTTGTTCTAAAGATCACAGAATCATAGTATCATTAAGGTCGGAATCTCAAAGGCCATCTAGTCTGTCCATCTACCATCAGTGTTGCCCAGAAAACCGTGACCATTTAGTAAGACACCCACATGCTTCCTGAACACCTCCAGGGACAGTGATTCCACAGCTTCCCTGGGCAGCCTGTTACAGTGCCCAATCACCCTTTTGGGGAAGCTTTTCCTAATATCCAACCTGAAATTTGTGCTATGCCTTCTGAAAGATAGAAATTCAACCTTGTTTGGCACAGTGATTTCCAGGTCTTTCTGATATCCCAGATCTGATGCCCTTTGTCTTTGTGCCTCTGCATGCTTGGAAGACAAAAGACTAGGATGTTCTAAATGGAAGAAGGAAATTAAGGGAGGAATAATAAGGACAAAGAGAATGGATCTGCTGGAGGTTGTGAAGGCAGAAATACAATCCAGGAACATTCAGGAACATCTACTGCTTTTGTAGAAAGAACTAAACACCAGTTTGTAATGTTTTATGAAGTTGAATCACCAAATCTAAGAAATCACATGGACAATAAAAAGCACAATAAGGAATGAATACTTCACTTTTGAAAAGTGGATCTTGGTTTTTTATATGTCACAACGGAGCAGACTTCTCTCATTACTTCTTGAAACTCGCTGCTCTTCCAACATAACACATGCAGTCTTCAACATAAAGAGCTCCCCAGAACCTCTATAAAAATTAGCAATCTTCCTCTGTCAGAGGAGCTGTGAGGGAATGACACTCCACAGGAATAAGATGAACTAAAAATGTAGTTTGCACAATCCCTTTTTCCACCTCTACTGTTTTCTAATCTTTATATAAATTGTTCTGCGCATGCTCACACCTGTGTTCCATTGTTCCCCTGTGCTAATTCCTACCTTTGTCTTCCCTCCGTCTTCCATCCCTTTCCCTCATATAGATGAGAAGTTATTTAGCCCTGGCTAACATATCGCTCGTATGGCTTTCTAAAGCTACAGGTCCAGGCTGAGACAGCAGGAATTCACTAACTTCAAAAACTTGCTGAAGTGGCCACAAGTAAAAGGAATTTGTACACAACAGTGCCATCTTCAGCTTCTACGGGAAGCCTGCAATACTTCATAGGATGCTTGATGGAAAGAGAAAAAAAAAAATGAGGCAAAGGAGTAGAACCACAGTCCTAAAGCACAAGGTATTCTTTTTTGTAAAAAAGTGTAACTGCTGTCTCCAGCTAACACAAGAAGGGCAGTCCTCATTCTGATCTCAGTTTTGATTTAATAACAAACAACAGCTCACAAAACCTTAACCGCCATAGCAGAGGAATTCTCCTCTTCTGAGCTCCTTTGAGGAACAGAACTGTTAAATTGTATGAGAACATTATTATATATGAGAAAATTATTGCTTAGCTAGATCTTATTTTTGCAGCTAAAGCAAAAAGAGCAAGCTGTTCTATTTTTCGTATTTGCTCTGTCTAAAAAAAAAAAAACCCAAAGAAATGCTAGAGCATTCCTAAAGACAAAATATTTCCTCAGTATGAGTTAAAAATATATTCTTCCCCATATCACCTTCAGAATGCACGCACAGCCATTCACACACATTGACAGCCACTCACCTACTGCATCTGGCAAGCCTTCATACAGTCCCAACATTTCACTTTGTTGTGTTAAATAAAAATCATCTGGTGCTTAGAGAAAACATAGTACAGAGTCAAAATTGCACTTAGACCCTAGTTTCCAAATAATAGTTATATGTCTTCATAGAATTCTGCTGCTGCAAGCAAAAATTAGACAGAAAACCACCACAGAATCATTCTGTATGCTAAGCCTTCATCTCACCTTTTGCATTTAAAATCTTCTGGATTAAACTGTATATTCATGATTCCATAATTACTTTCATCGCCTCCTACAGGAATCAAGAGAGGCTTTGTATCCTCCTCCATATCTGACGAATATGCTTCTTTATTCTAGACTCTGACAGTTATTCTGAACAAAAGAAAGAAAACAAGACAAATGCAGTTAGGTAAGCTATATATCTGCAATGAATTTAAAACTGGCAGTTCCACAGGTTCAGAAGCTGCTGAGGAGAAAACAAAACTCCTTCAGTTTGCTTCTGGGAATTGTCATTTAGTAATGCAAACACCACTGGTCAAGCACAGCAGGCGTAACAATTTCAAAACACCCTCCACATTTAAGTAAAGTGTTCAATAAATCATTGTGCTCTGATTCTTCTACAGCAATAGCCAATATAAATTAAAGCACTGTGATGGATGCTGCTTTTACATTGGGATTGAAAAAAATTTGTAATCTGAATTTTATGTATTTATTTATTTATTTTGAGCTACCGTAGCAAAAAACAAGTCCACCGTGTGGAAAGTAACATTAAGTATTTTTATGTGTAGGTCTTATTCAACTTCACAGCATAAGACTCCGTTCCAGTTCCCACTGTTCCACTGGAAGACTCCCATGATTTTTAAAAGAGCTGTATTTGCAATTAGCAACAGAACAGCTGAGAACAACTTATCCAGATTATGAGACTACTGTTTCAATAAATTTCTTCAAACTTTACAGCAAATACACAGTTTTCCAGTGTATTTCCCAGAATAAAGATTGAATTATAGTGGTGTATCATGTCCATGTCCTTTGAATTAAAGACAACAACTGGATTAATAATGCATTAATAATTATGTATTGCATGCATTCAGAACACTCCAGGCTAAACAAAAGGAAGCAGGCTGCTTTTAAGCAAATGGAATTATATTTTCTTCAACTGAATTGCAGACCTCACATGGGACTTGATGCAGTCTCATGTTCATATGAACAAACATAATGATTTAACAGCTCTCACACTTGCTACCTGCTGAAATTCCTCAGCCAGGACATATTTTTCAAGCAAAAATGGTAGAGGTTTCTGCTTTTCCAGTGCAATTGTTTCCTGATATTTTGTATGGTAGACAGGCTGATGGAAAGATAAGTGGGAACTAGAGATAGCAAAAGATCAGAAAAGGATGGCACTGAACGGAACAATAGAATGAGCTGTTTTAAATTTACATCAGGCTTCTTGTCTACCTGGACAAGCATGCCTGTGCAAAGGAGTACAAATGATGGCATTTCATCCTATAAGGATGCCAGTTCCTTCATGCCTTCAGCATGCATAACACTACAACTCATGACATACAAGATTTGAATTAAGTCTTTTAAGTTTAAAGGCATGATTTTATCTTGTTCATATTGGCAGTGACACAGATCACAATAAAAAATCAGATAAAATAAAACAACTGTACAAGCATTCTTTGCAGTCCGTGATAACACCACCTTTTCCTCACCCTTCATTTCTGCTGTCACTCTCCCCTTTACTCCAAAGTCCTTCCCTTCTGCATCATCCCTGTTACTTCTTTGGCTTCATTTGGAATGTCTTAAATACTCTTTTTGTTTTACAACCTTCTGGTGACTTTCACCTTTCACATTCCTGCTCATTTCCTCTCCATTTTCTGCCTCTCCTATACACTGTCAAAACTGTTTTCCAATTGCCCTTAACAACCACTATTTACAAAGAGATTTCTTAATTGACAGCAATATTTTAATTTCCTTTCAGATAACACTATTGCTTTCCAAATCTCATATATAGCTTCCCTCTTGATCATTTCTCTTCTACCGATTTCTTATATAATTTTCTATAGCTCTACGTCACCTCTTTTCTCCCTACTGACTACCTTTATGACCTGTATAGTCCCAATTTAACTCATATCAGTGTACTTCTTCTAACTGCTTAATACTACTGAAAGAAAATCGATGAGATTAGAGACTTCATCTACTGCTACAACTATCCACCTGTTCCTCTGTCATTCCCAAGACCTTCTGCATCCCTCTGATTGCATCTTGAGAAAACAGTTTTTATGGCTTTATTTTTGTTGCTTTTAATGGTAATCTCTACAGCTCATAGCTTCTTTTTTTCTGCGTAAAACTTTACTGGAAGTCTCAAGTGGAAGACTGATAATCCAGTTAACTGTTCCTTTTTATTCTGTTCTGTTGTCTTTTTCAGCTTAACATCCTGCAAACTTTTCCCAAACAGGTACACCCTTACCTCAGGAACTGAGATCCCTCCCTTCTGCCTTTTGCAATCTCTTTTGTTTGAGTTTAAATCACACTCTGGATTTAGCCAAAACAACCCAGATTAAAATTTAAATCTCTAGTGGATGGACTGGAATTGGAAACAAATTCAAACCGCAACACTCATCAGTGAATTTAGCCAGAATTTTCCAGAAGACTGAGCAACTCAGAACTTTTCCTTCCTCGTGGCTCTGATTATGGTGTGGATGAAGTATCGCTTCATACATCACTTCCCTAAAACCCCTTGTAAATAATGTATTTGTGCTTTATAATTCAATCTGAAAAATGCAGAAAACAATGATCACCAGTAAGACTTTCTCTGCGCTATGGCTACAAAGGATCCAGAACACTTTCAAATATTCCATAAAGAAAAGCAATCCTTCCAAGACATAGCATGTACCAAGTTAGGCTTGAAAGCATAGTTTGGGATGCAGCACTGTTTATTTGCCTCTTAAGAGCCTATTTAAAAATAAACCCTTTTCAAAAGTCTAGCTTGTAAGTGCTTATTGTTCAGAATAGATAAAAGAAGCTTATGACCAGCAAATTAACTACTTTACAAATAGATGCAGATATGAAAACTGTATAATATCAAAACTGTATGATATGACAACTGTAGACAGAACCAATGTAGCTTAAAAGATAACTGCAGGCAAATGAACAAAGCACAGAAGAAGTAACCTGATTAATTATTGTTTAATCTAATGCCTACTGCTCCTTGCCTGGATTGCACTGCCATTAAATATTTCTTATACACGGGATTACGCTGGTTGTGATATCCAGACTTATTGCCTGACCATTTCCACTACATCAAATACTTCTCTGCAGCTTGTTTTAGTAGTGTTATAGCTACCTTGAGCTCTTATACTAAGAATCTGACCTACGCTCACCTAGTCTTGGAGTTTTATCTTTTAAAAAAACTTGTGACAGACAAAATTCTGTACACAACCTTCCAATCATTTATCACAACCGTCATGCTACCAACACAGTCTCAACAATCATTAAAATCTAAAGACCTACAAATTCAAACACCATGTTAGTGTCATGAATGGTGGTAAGTTCTGCACAGACTTGTCCTCTTCTGTTCATAATTCTCCCACAACCATCTGAAGCACTGCATCAGAAATCCATCAACAGGTAACAAGCAAATGAGGATTTACTAGTCCAGGTTTTTCTGCTGCTGGCAAAGAAACTGTGAAATAATACCAACAGGTACACAAGTCCCACTCCAGGCTACACTCTGGATGACTTACAGGTGGTATTCAAAACCAGAGGTGACCTTTCATTAATGGTTTGCTCCTGCAAACTTATGCTTTCTCTACCTCCAGTTCTCCTGGTTAGAAAGCCTGAAAAGCTTCAAGAAGTGAAAACAATGAATCACCAGATTGAGAACTCTCATTCTAGCCTGGTGATGCTGTGATCTAGTCTTTGCAGTGGAGGACAAACACACAGTACAATTTGCTTGTACTGTGAATCTATGCCAGCACTCAGTTCTGCTCCAGGCACATGTGTCAACACCTTAAAATGAAACACCCATCCGGATGGATCAGTACAGGCTTTCCGCTTAGGCCATGGAAAGGGGTTACCAAACAAGTATACACCACAGCAGACAGAACTGCACTGTTAGTCAGTTATCCTGGTTATCCCACAAGCTCAGACCATGCTTAACTGGTTTGTAGGACTCTTCTTCACCAGAGAACCTTCCTGGGAGAGTGGGGGAAAGAGGGCAGGGAGGGGAACCACTAGCACAGCTTCCACTGCGCCATCCACAGTGTCTGTGCAGCTGGAAATGGTGCTGGAAAAACAGAACACGTAGTTCTGAGATCTATTCACACAACAGCTCCATGTTACCAAAAGCAAAACTGATGTGCTATGGATGAATAAAGGGCAAGGCATAAGTCTCAAGTATACTGCAGGCTATACACACAGAAACTGTGAGAAATAAGAAGGCTCTTCCCTGAAAAAAGGGAATTTCAAAGCAGAATAGAAGAGCTTCCAGGTTCCTTTTTTTGAGGTAACAAGCCCTAGGTTGGAAGGTGCTGAAGAAGTGAAAGTAGTGACATACATTCAGAGCTCCTTAAAACAGGGACAACTTGACACAAGTCAGCTTGTCCATATTCTCATAGGACTGCAACAATTGAAAACTAAAACATGTAAACAGTGTCAAGATAACGTCTGCTTTGTTAACAGTGCTTGCAGATACAGGCTGCATTACTATTAAGTTTCTACAAGAGCAGTTCCGAAAGTAATGCCTTCTATTTTATGATCTTGGCCCTCAGCAGGCAAATGTTGATGACATAACAGTACAGGATGAACCTTGCCATCAATGTAATATTCCTTTACATGTTGTTGCTGTGTGACACATGGCAGCAGAGGGGCAGCCTGACAGAATGCTGTGTGACATGGAAATGCATGAGCGCATGTGGCACTGAATTCCTCCATTTGGAAAAAAGTGGTGCTCACTGACATTTACAGACACTTGCTGCACGTTTCTGGAGCCCAAGCAGTGGGAGTGAGCACAGTGAGGTGGTGAGTGCTGCATTTCAGCAGTGGTGACAGTGACAGCAGGGCACCTTCACTGTTTCATATGTTTATGAATGAGGCATGCAGGCTCTTGTTCATCACTGGCAAAAATGCAGAGCTACATGTGCTGACTACGTTGAAAAAAAAGTGTTTTGTAGCTAAGAGCATCCTCTATCAAACAGTACTATTGTGCTTTCTGTATCTGTTGTAGTTGCCACGGAAATAAATAGGAGGCAGTACTTTTGGAGCAACCTCTTCAGTACCTCAGGCTGAATCAAGGGGCACACAACTTCTGACAGATGGTGTCAAAGTAAAATGTAGAAGAAATTAAACAAGCTTATCTTCAGCAGATAAGGAAGCTATTATTTGGACACCCATATACGTTTGCACAGATTCTAAGAAAATAGTTACAATCATCAAAACGTAAAGAAGTTAAACAACTTAATGATCCCACCACCACCGTTAAGGAAACAGGTCTCCGGGCCGTCAGCACCGGAGCCAGGCTTCCCGCCGACTCGCGAGCAGCCTCTTCGGCAGCGCTCCGCCCCGCACGGCGCTCCGTTTCGCTCGGCTCCCCGCACGCGGCTTCAGGCCAGCGGCCGGCGAGGCCCGGCACTCACTCAGCCCGTGCTGCCCTCTCCCTCCGCGCGCTCCTCCCTCGGCCAGTGGCACGCAGGGCGCGGCTCAGCCCGTCCCGGCCGGCGGAGCGAAGCGGCCCGCGGCGCACGGGGCTCCCCAGCCTCGCTCGCCGCCCCGCCGCCGGTGAGGCGAGGCGAGGCGAGGCGAAGCGTGGCGGCGGCACCCCGGCCCTCCACGCGAGCTGCTCCGCTGCGCTGCCGCCGGGACCCCCCTGCCGGCGCGGCCTCCTACCTGCGGTCCCGGCAGCGCTCCGCGCCGACAACAGGAAGCGACCCCGAACGCCGAGCCCCGAACTACGCTTCCCGGCGAGCTGCGCGGCACCGCCCCGCGCTGCCAGCCTGGGCCGGGGCTGCTGGAGGCGGGGAGGTGCTGCGTCGCGTCTCTCGCCTTCAATCTTCGCCTTTGCAAGTGCTGCGGCGATGCGGAGCCGCGCGCTTTGACATATTGTTCACAGCGATGCAAAACTGCAGCGTAGTCAGCACTTCAAAGGCACAGGCTGGAGCGCTGGCCTCCAGCGTTTCGGCTTGCCTGGGCTGCATTCAGTGAAGACGAATTGTCTTGGCCACATATATAATATACAATCTAGATAATGAATAGAAGTAACAAACTTACATATATATATTTATCTATTAAAAACTATTAAATACAGAGAGCAACAGAAAGGTAAAACAGGTGGGATATTTGACCTTGTTTTTGTAAAAGAATGGCAATAGTCTGGTTCCGCGGCAGTGGCTGGAGTTCTTAATTCTCAAGGTGTTGTCAGAGATTTTTGATGAAGGGTTGCTCTTCCTGTGCTTCATCCTTGAAAATGGTTGTGCGCAAATGTACGTACTGCAAAAAAAGTATTGCAAAAAAGTGGTGACATGAATGAGGCCTGGTTGTGAAGTTGGGAATGTTTTCCTCTTGTAAGAGAGCACTTAACAAAAGTCTGGCAAAAAGACAAGATCAGATTTTTCTTTGAGATGAATATCTGATTGTATCTCTATATGTACCCTTTGAAAATTTGCAGGTAATGGATTTATGTTGACTGAAAATGGAGCCGAAAATACACAAAAAAATTGATGAGCTTTTTCTTTTTTTTTAATCTTGAAACCTATTCTCAAATTCCGTTATCAGCACAAGAAGCACAGCTGCTTGTTTTTCACTCTTCACAGGTTTGGGTCTAGCCAGTGCGTTTAAATGCATAACATCATTTGCCATAACTTGAGCTTGCCATAATGAAAGTTTCATTTTGAAAGCTGTTATGGTCTGAAACATAGCATGAGTAAGATGATTTTCACACTGACAATGCATGTTTAACTCATTTCAGTGAGAGCTCAAATCCATCAAAAAAGCTAAATCTGTGAACCATTTTTCATGTTCAACTTCTGGCACAAATTTTTGTTTTGATTCCATACATGACTAGATTTCATTTTGCAAATCATGAAATCTATTGCCAAAACATGCAGTTTTAAATCAGCAGCTTTACTGCCCAAATTTGCACAAGCACATGTAATGCGAAAAAGTTTCTGTCCCACTGAACAGAGACAAAACACAGGAATTGGCCTCAACAAGCTGAGCGATATTGTTCAGCCCAAGCAGTGCCCTAACACTTTCCCTGTCTCCCACCTCACCCATTTTTTCATTGGAATCAAATACATAAAGTATAACAGCCTGGCGCCATCTCAGCTGCCATTAAGTAGCACGTGCTGCAACAAGATGTCTACCACACAGTCTGCTCTGAGTGGTGGGGGTCTCCAGTGCTACCAGCAACTGTGACACAGACATTGACACTGACCGAGGTCCATCGGATGCCAATGGTTCACACTGGGATGTTATCACAGAACCATGGAGGTTGGAAGGAACATCTGGGGGTCATCACATCCAAACACCTGTCAGTAGGTTCCCTAGAGTAGGTTGGTAGGTTGCTCAAGAACTATTATAGAACAGTTATAGCACTGTTGCTCACAGAAAATCACTAAGTGGTAAGGTTAACTTTTTGGTTGTTGTTCCCAGTTAAACCAAGGTGGGAACACATCCTTTTTATAGTTGTACTGTAGGGATATTTATAGATCTTGCTAGGGAAAACTGAACTGTGTGCAAGGAAGATGGCCCTGACACAGCTTTCTCACATGAGAAAGCTATTTTGAAACAAGCTCGGCACATATCTCAATCTGTACTTCCTCAAACACAGCCCAAACCAATAGCAGGGCCAAGCAGCAGCACTGCTCCTTCAAGGAAACTGCTGCATAATCTGAATTTCAGACCACAGGAGGAAACAAGGCAGCAGACTAATGACTTGTCACCCTGACTCTCAGCTGTGTGCAATCAGAGCCGTTCCAAACTCTGCTTTCTGCAGACTTTCCTTCACTCTCATCTTTTGCACCTTTGACACTCTTATTATTCAAGTACTCTGTGGCTTTTGGTTATTTGAAGAATTTGGTCAGTCACAAGTCTGCCCACCTACTATCATTATTAGTTTGAAAAGCAATGGAAACACCACCTGCTGATGCTTTGATTGATTACAACCAAAACACACAAAAGCAGAGATGTGGGAAGAATTTGACATTTTGATGATATGAGAAACTAGTCCCACCCTCGAAATCCACCTTCTGCATCACATGCTATGAGAAACCCAAGTAGTTATAACCATAGCAGACATACCGCTTCTATTTCCTTATCTTCTTTGTCATTAACCACGCACCCTTGGAAGATTTTTGCTTGGAAAAAGGATTTATTGCAAGAACTGCAATTTGTTAACAAAGAAACATTAAATAAATGTGTAAATTCTCCTGCAGTCCCTTTTATTAAAGCACTACCTTTAGAAATGCCTTTAAAAAGTAGCTGCCTGCATTGCACTGCGCTGTCACCACTGTGCTTTCTATTCTGCGGCACACAGACTTCTGAGCAAAGCACGTATTCTGCCACACATCTGGGTAGTGCCTTGGAAAATGGGAACCCACATTCACTGAGGCCCTCCTCAGATGAGTCCTCCCTTTGAGAACAGCAAGGTCTCTTGGGTACCTTCTCATCTCCAAGCCAAATAAACTGAGCTCCCTCAGCTTTCCTTCATGGAGAGGCTCCAGCCCTCTGATCGTCACTGCAGCCCTCCTCTGGACCCGTTCCAGCAGCCCCTCGCGCTGGGGCTCTAGCCTGGACGTGGTACTGTACGTGGGGCCTCACAACGGCAGAGCAGAGAGGGACAATCCTCTCCCTCAGCCACTAATTTTGCACGTGCTTAATTTTGTCCATACTTTTTGCAGCAGAATAGCCCATGTTAGTTGTTGTGTCACACAGCTGAATTCGCTAGGTCTCTGTGAAACAAAGGGTGCTCCAACAGCCACTGCAGCACATGAGGAGCCACGCAGGTGTTCCGATGCCTACAGGACAGAGAATGAACAGACACGCCCTGGGACAGCCGACCCGCACCGCCTGTTTTCATCTTCTGCTCACACTCCCCAAGTGCCCCGAAGCAGAGACAGGAAAAGCACCACCCGCAGCCTCACCTCCTTCCCGCCCAACGGTATCGCCCAGGCCGCAGCCGCCCACTAGGAGCGCTAGCGGCACCTTCTCACCCCACCCTCACCACGCGCCCCTGGCGGTCCTAGCAGCTGCTGCGCATGCGCCGATGACGATTAGCGCTCCCATTGGCTGGCGGTCGAAGCACGGCTGGGGCACGCGGTGGCGGCTATATAAGGCGTCTCGGGAGACAGCGCCATGTTATTTGGCGCGGAGAGTGAAAGCCGCGGGCTCGGGTAGGGGTGTGCGGCGCGCCTCGGAGCACCGGAACCGCAGCGGAGCTGGGTGTGGGGCAAGGGCAGTGCGTGCCGGGGAGGGGTGCGTCGCGTGTCCGCATCGCGAGAGCCGTCGGGATAGCGGCGTCTTGGTGAGGGGTGCTGCTAACTTGCTCCTGGACCTGCAGGTGAGCTGCTGGCGTTCGCTATGGAAGAGGACTGGGACACGGAGCTTCTGGAGCAGGAGGCGGCGGCGGCTCCCCAGCGGCGTTCTGAGGAGCAGGCGTGGATGGTGAGTCGTGTCCAGGGCGGGGCGGCAGGGAGCGGGGCGCTTGGCTGGCCTAGTCTGGGGAAGAGGAGGCCGAGGGGCCACCTCTGTGCTCCCTGGAGCTCCCCGAGTGCTGCGGTGTGCGGAGAAGGAGGTGCCGGGCTGTGCAGTGAGAGCCGAGGGCGCGGAGCTGACCGCGGAGGGAACGGCTGTGCCTGAGGTGTCAGAGCCTGGCGTGGGCTGCACGGAGAGATGACGGTCTTGAGTCTAAATGACTCATGTGCACTCTTGCTGTTTTATTACATGGCAGCTAAACGCTTTGGTGTGAAGTAAAGGGTGAGATAGAGGAGTGTAATGAAAGACAGCTAAATAATATTTTACTATTTGTGGGATGAATGAATATCAGAAGAAACTGCTGTAAATTTCAGGAGGACCTGGTAGGAATGTTTGATAGTTGGCATTGGTCTTACAGGTGTTACAAATGAGCCTTGAGGAATGGAGGGGTAAGGAAAGACAAATGGGTTATCCAAATGGGTGCCAAGCTAAAAGTACAGTTGCCTAAAAGAGGAGTAGTAGCATGTAGTATCAGAATGATGATTTTGTTGGTTTGAGGTTAGTTTCCTGTAGTGGTTGGTAACCATAACAGGAGAAGTATTTCAATTGTAGTAAAATAAAGAAAGCATGATTTGGAAGTAAAAATGTTGGTAACTTTTTGATGTTCCCTTATCACTTGGTGCTTTGGCCTAATAATACATCTCTAACCTGTATTAAGCAGGAGAAATTTAAACCCGGGCTTTGCTGGAAATAAAATTTTATAGTGGTACAATGTGAAAATTAGGTGCTATTCTGAACTGTTTTGGATGGAGTATCTGAATCTTTAAATAAATTCAGAGACTGACATCTTTAAAATGCTTAAGGATAACCTGTAAGCATGCTGTGGAAGAAGAACAGGAATGCAGTTGTGAAGTGATGGAAATAGACTTATTCATTGTACTCATAGCCTGAAACCTTTCTAAGCCTAAATTGGAGAAAAAAATACTGTAGAAGATTGCACTATTGCTTTGGGCAACAAATGTTTTTAATGAGCTTTGAATGTTTGTTAGCAAAGTGAGGTTGATGTCTCCACAAGTCTGACAGGAGGCAAGATAATCTTATCTTCATAGTGTTTGTATATAACTTTCGGTGACATTTGTGTACGAACATTATGCACTTCAGTGTATTGAAGTTTAAGAAACTTTGAACAGAACTATTAGAAAGACTGTGCGCATGGGTACAGAAGGCACTTTATTTCAAATGGGAGACTTAGCAACTAAATGCACCTTCAGTTCACATATACTTTGCTTGGCCTGAAGGTAACATTGTGATGCCCTTTTTTTCC